GAGCCTCATTTGTGTTTTCCATCTCTGCCAAATAACTACAGCTCGTAACAACAGCTCAAGCGTCGAACGCTTACCTCAAGCAACGCATTTTTACTGCAATCAACACATCGAGTTTCTCTCTCTTGAAAGCAAGATGGAGTCTTCTCGCGCAAACTCGGGCCAGTCAGCTCCCCTCCTATCTCAAGACCTACAGCCTAGTACTGCTGTTGGGTTCCAGCAGCAAGGCACAGTGGACTGGACCAGAATAATGAGCGGGAGCGTCACATTCTCTGTCGACGTTCTATCGCGATTGTCAAAAGCAGGTATCGAAGCCTTCACCATCTATGCTGCCAGGGCAATCTTTTCCAACGTCAAGCTCGGTCCGAGTGGCGAATTACGTCTTCACCGTGCCCTCGATAAACTCAGTGCTTTCCCTTCTTTTGGAAAAGCACTATGGTTTGGTTTCGGGGTGAAGAATATCATATGGAGCATGCAGTAGTCTACAGAGGGCTTGAACTGTCTTGGTATCTGTGCCTGCTTGACAGAGGGATACTCCACGATTGTTGCTGCAAAGGTTATACGAGAGCTCTTTCTCCTATATGGCCCACCCGCTGAGCTTACACCTGCGCTTAGGCAGTGGATCGCGCTGGTTGAGTCCTCGGGGGGACTGCTCGCCTCATCGGAGTTCGGTCTGGTATTACATGGCTTGACTAAGCTCTGTCTCGGCGACGGCCAATGCAAGCTGCAAGGCTCTGGGTCGCCCGAAGACATCGCGCTAGTGTTGAAGCAAGTTTTCGAAGTCTCAGCGGAACGCCTTGATCGTCTTTTCTTGTCTGGTGGCATGGATTGCGCTTGGATCGCCGCAGTAGCCCATTGGCTTCTGGACCTCCGAGTCGAGGTTCAGGATCAGGACGGCACGATTATCTATCGACCTGATGGCACGCAAAATAGATACTCTCCGGAAGCTCAAGTTATCATAACTTACCACCTGGGGCATTCGAGTGAAATCCTTCAAGTTGACCGCAGACACTATGTCATTCCGAGCGGCAAAGCACTATTCAATCATTTGCAAAATCAGGAAATCATTTCATAAGGTAGGGTTCCTTGGGAGTCCTGCCTGATTGATACATTTGGTAGTCCTATGAGGCTTCTCCTGGGGTCTCAAGCTCGGACTACTGGGGCTTGTTTGGGTTCTGCCGCGCGCATCTTTCAGGCTGCTATCTGCGACGGTGAGGGCCACATAACATCCTTAGTGAGTGATGAAGCACGATTGCGTTTATCGCCAATTTCAGAATCCAGCTACGGGAGGGGGTTTTGTCTACTTGCTCGTCGCCTCCTTCCAGAACTCGGTCAAAATCCGGTCTTGCACCAGACAATGGAGGCGGCTGTGAACAAAGGATACTTGAACGCTGCTCAACAGTTTTCTCAATCTTACGTTTCCTTGAGTCAGCTATGTTCATGCATGAATTGTCGCTCAAATGTGGACGGCGAGAGAGGGTACACCGCCTTCTGCTTGCTCACATTGATACCAACTATTTGTACCCTTGTCAGAGCTATGTCGACTATCTGCATGCAACAAGATCTTAAAGTACAACCAACACGCTCCGGTTTAGAGAGCATATACTGGAACCAGAGAGATGCAATTGGTGATCCAGGAGACTCATACTACGACCCGGTTGTTGACGGCTTACTGAGACCTTGGCCTAAGCATACCCTGTCGTTCGCCCAAATGCTTTTCGCGGGACGACAATATGATAGGGGTTCGGGCAGTGGTAATGTTGTTGCAGCTTCGCACAGTGGACTTTGTTTCTGTCTTCATACTTTGACGGAGATCACATCCGATCCTCAGAGAGCTTGTGTCGTGACAGTTGTACCTGGTAGGATCGAGTGGAACGGCTTCATGTACGACATGATACGTGACCAGGGAGAATGGAAAATGAGTACACCTCGGCAGGGTGGCTACAATGCAGTCTCCATGACGACTGTAACGAAATATGACGACTTAGCCGATAGTTCAACTTCTGGCCTCGTCGCCGAACTCATTATTGATGAGATATTTCCGGAAAGTACTAGTCTTTCTGCCTTCTACAGAGTTTTAACTGCAGCATTCCCCGGTCGACATTTCTCATTAGGGGCCGCAGAAATTTGGGCTCAACTTCGCGTTCACAGCTGCAAGTTGTGAAGGCAAGACGTGTGACTCGCTCAATGGGTTCCAATCTATTCTTGTCGAAGGAGAAGGGTTGCTTCTTCCGACGCCAGATTGGTGGACGACACGTCTACCTATCATGCGCGTATTGTCTGCAAAGGATGTTTCAGTCTGGGTTGCTCTTTCACAACGTTATCTTCCAACGTCTGACGATGCAATGAGTGAGGATCTGGTATTCTTATCTCATAGACTACAGGGCAAACAATGTGTTAGGTGCTGTATAGTGAATGCAGAGAACGCAGGGATGAGTTCAGACCAACATGGTGATTGTTGTGTATCTATTATCACTTCAGTATAGATGTTGGAACTCAGAATATGAATAGTACTGTAAATGTTGATGAATTAGTCCAGTCATACAATAAAACTCCAGTAACAGAGAAGGGAATGATGGGATCTAGGCTGCTCCTGAGTTTCAATACAGAAATCTTTTCACTGCACTAGCGAGCATAGCACTCTTTTCGCCATTCTGGGCCATATAGACGTAGATCCTGCTGTGCGCCATCGAGCCCATAGTTAACCCCACCTAAGCCAACACCAAATCAATAGCACAAAAGCTTGGCCTTGGAGAATGAGCCAAATTACACAAGCTCCTCACCAATAAGACCTTGCGGACAAACCTCCCTGCTTGTTCCAGCGGGCCCGGTTCGTCTCCCGCAGCCGCGGCCTCTCGATCCTTTCCGAGACTAAGCCTAATTGAGCAACAATTATAGATTCGCTATCACGACAGTCGATGTCGTTATCAGATATTATCGGGTATCCCACTTGTTTTGGGTATGAGACAATCACATCCCCGTTATTGCGAAACGGGAAATATGGGGGATTTAATTGGTCTGAACAGACGAGGTGTTTCCTGAATTGGATGGTTGAGTCGGGGAGGCGCCGGTAGTTTTAAGGTGTCTGTTTAAAGCTTGGAGGGGGGATACACTTGGAGAGTTCGGCGAATTTGTGGAGGAGAATGGAGCGTCTTGTTTTAGATGTTGGAAGGGTTTGTTGATGTGGTCGTAAGAATCGCTGGATGGGCTATTTATCCCGCGATCCAAGAGTTACTGTACAGCCGTCCAGCACGGTTCTTTTGCTGCTCTGTAATCTAGATCGACAATGCTATACTCCAAGCTCTGAGTAAAAAGGCCTGCCGAATTTCCAAGCTACCGAAATGTCATCGAGTGACACAATGCACTACAACGTTATACAACCCCCATCTAGACCGATCCATTCCTCGCCACTAGCAGTTATCCAAGTCCGCAAACAAGGCTCATCCCACGCGGAGATCCTGCCTTTGAGTGGATGTCCTTTTAAGCATGCGACTATGTCGTCCCAGATCGGATATATTGGGTGGGATTTCCAACGGGGAACCCGAGTCTTGGTGCAGTCATGTCAAGATCCTCGAGAATTGTGTCATCCTGCACACACCACGGTCGCACAGACGATCCATGTTTATATAACTCAATCCGTCGTCGCGCGTTTTACTTCACCTCATCGGCAAACCATTCTACTGCTTTGATCAGATTATACCGACCGCACTGGTTTCATCTCTTCAGGTTTTCGACAAAATGGGCTTCTCAAACTTTTTTGAAAGCCAGAAAACCACGGCTACCGTCTCGGCGGACCCTGAGGCAAGCGACTCCGAACCCTCGGTCATTCACGATGGCGGTCTCGCATACACACGCGTCAAAGGCGGCAATGGCTCCAAGCCTTCATACCAAGAGGCCGTCGGTGCGCCTGTTGAATCGCACTCGCCCCTTGGATACAACGTCGGTTGGCTTACGGTTATCTTTCTGAACGTGAATATGATGATTGGAACTGGTATCTTTTCTACGCGTACGTACCCTACTCATATAAGTATTCTACTTGTATGGAAGGAGTTGAGACTAATAAGGTACAGCTTCGAGTATTCTTAACCGTGCTGGGTCTGTCGGTCTAGCGCTGATCATCTGGTTCATTGGCTTCATCATGGCTGCTTCTGGTTTCAGTGTTTATCTGGAATTGGCGAGTTACTTTCCTAACCGCAGTGGCTCTGAGGTTGTGTATCTTGAGCAGGCGTATCCTCGGCCTAAGCACTTCTTCCCCGTTACCTTTGCTGTCCAGTCGGTCATTCTGTCCTTCAGCAGTAGCAATGCCGTCGGTGAGTTGCTTTCATCTTTCATCTTTAAGCTTGCGCGTTCTGACCATATATAGTTCTGTCCAAGTACCTTTGGCGAATGACCGGCGATACCCCCTCCGAATGGCAGATGCGAGGTGTCGCCATTGCAGCTTATACCCTTGCTGTCATCTTTGTTATCGCGCATAACAAGTACTCCCTCTGGCTGGTCAACTTCATCGGCGCCCTGAAGATCCTCACTCTAGTCTTGTAAGCCCTCCCATCCCTCCATACCCTTCACCCCTAACACATCACACAGCATCAGCATCGCAGGATTCGTCGTCCTAGGTGGCAACGTCAAGCGCATTCCCGACCCAGGCCACAACTTCCGCGACGCCTTCGCAGGTGCAACCCCCAACGGCAACGATCTAGCCAGTGCCCTCGTCAGTATCGTCTTCTCATACGCTGGATACTGGAACGCCTTCAACGTCGTCAACGAGATTCAAAATCCCATCCCCACGCTCAAGCGAAACGGTGCTGTGTCGCTTACGGTCGTCGCTGTGTTGTATATGCTCTGCAACATCGCCTACTTCGCTGTCGTTCCCAAGGAGGAGTTCGCCGAGGCTAGTGAGATTGCTGCATCCGTCTTCTTCTCCAAGCTCTTTGGTGATAGCAAGTCTGCTGCCAATGTCCTCAACTTTCTTGTACTGCTGAGTGCCTTTGGTAACCTTCTTGCTGTGTTGATTGGATCTGCACGTATGCTTCGTGAGATTGGTCGACAGGGTGTTTTGCCTTATACCAACTTCTGGGTCTCGACTAAGCCTTTTGGTACACCGCTTGGTCCTTATATCCTCAAGTGGGTGTTGACTTTCATCATGATTGTTGCACCCTCGGCAGGCGATGCCTTCACTTTCGGTTAGTAGCTCGACCCCACTTGAAGTTTTCTGATGCTGATCCGTCTCATAGTTGTTAGTCTGGGCACGTACCCTGATGCGATGTTCAGGTTTGCCATGGTCGTTGGTCTCTATGTTATCCGCCGCCGCCGGTCAAAGGCCGGTATTGGTCGCTCTGACTTCAAAGCCTGGCATCCTCCTGTCATCTTCTACATCCTCGTCCAGGTCTTCATCCTCGTCATGCCTTGGTACCCTCCCAAGGGCGGCCCATATGCTGGTGATGTAAGCTTCTGGTATGCGACATACTGTGTTGTCGGTATTGCAATGTGAGTATTGCCTGAGAATATGAATGTCTTCCACTTTACTGACAGCCATCTTTAGTGTCCTTGTTTGCGCCCTTTACTACGTTGTTTGGATGTTCCTGTTGCCCAAGTGGAAGGGTTATGCTATTCGCACCGAGATCACCAATGTCGATGACAACGGAGCCAACACCCACCGACTGGTCAGAGTTCCCTATGCTGATCTTCCTCGATGGGACGAAGAGCATGACGAAGCTGGAAACATTCGCCAGAGAACAACGGTTGTGGCTCCAAGCTCAGAGGGTTCCATCAAGGCTTAGGTGCTGGGTAGTGGTCAGGGGCATTAGCATCATATAGCACTAGGAAAGCCAAGTATATCAATAACAGACTTTGCAGTTGAACAGGATTATTATTGAAAACAAAAATGGGTATTATTCATATTATGTCTATCGTCATTACTCAAAACTGAAATTGTCTATTCTGCAGCATTGCTGGCACAAGACCAAGGAGTTTTGCTTCCTCCCTCAGCGATGGCCTCAATGGAAGCCCAAAGTCCAAGGACACAGATGAGGAAACCAGTAAGGAGGAGAATAACGTTGGCCACGAATCGGCAAGTCTGCTTTCCATCCTTGAACCAGTTTCCGTAGTGCATCCAGAGCCAGAAGATACCGGGCAGTCCATAAGAGAACCATGAGGCGAAGAGGGCGCAGATAAGACCAAGAAGGTTGTTGAACACAGGGATAGACTCGGCAATGACCATGGAGAGAGCCCAGATACCTAAGGTTACACCGAACCAGACCATGGTAGATAGCTTTGTTCGGCGGACCATGTGCTTCGTGTTGCGGAAGATTCGCTGGAAGATGTAGGCTGAAGCGACATGGCCGTAAATGACACCAGCAATGACGATGGTGGGGATGGCGATACCCCAGATGACCTTTCGCATGGTAGCAGAGCCAGCGGCAGAAAGAGCAGGTGAAGGAACATCCGGTCCGACAAAGACATAGATGACAATAGCGGCAAGTAGGTAAAGCGTAGTGTCGACGATCTGGAGAAACGCCAGAGCCTTGGGCCAGTCCTCAGGCTTCTTGAACTCAGAGATGACAGTGAAGAAGCAAGAGTGGCTGGAGAAAGAAATGGCAATGTTGGTGACAGCCAAGAAAGCGCCGGTGAAACCAAGCTCACGAGCAACCTGGATGCTTCCAGAGCCAATAGGTCGCTCATGCGCAACATCTCCAACCGTAATGAGAACAGCCAGCGTAATCGACATGCATGATGCCATGGACATATAACTCGTGTACTTCAGCGTACGCGGCAAGTTAAGAACCCAGAAAACCGCCAAGCCCACAACAGCCCAGACAATAGTGCAAGTCGAACTATTCGTCAGAGTGTTCAGGCAAATAGTCCAAGTGAGAAGATGGCTTCCCATGACAAAGACCTGGAAAATGACCTGCGCCCAACCGAAAACCTCCTGGAAAACACGTCCCATTCCGATGGACTTTCCAATGACCTCGACGGCGTCGCCAAAGTTTTGGACAAAGGGGTATTGCGCGCGGAATTCAGCGAGCACGAGACCGGAGTATGTGGAGAGGAAGCCCATTACGAGAATGAGGACTATGCCGGGGACGAGACCGACGGCGGCGAGGACGGAGGGGAGGGAGAGGATGCCGAGGGATACTGTTTCTGCGATGAGGACGATACCGCCTTGCCTGTAATTTGTCAGTTTCTGTCTGAGATGCGGAGGTTGGTGGGTGAACATACCACCATGTTAATGTCTTGTAGTCAATAATCTCCGCCTCTTCATCACCCAAGATAGCATCATCATTTCTCGGCTCAGCGACAAAAGCTGGAGGACTGTTGTTGACACCTTTCTCTTGATCCACAGGGGATTCAGGCGCCGCAGCGCTTTTAGGCTCTGTATGGCTCATGATGACAGTCGCCCGTTAAGTTGGTGGCGCAAATGTTGAAAAGACAAAAAGTGTAAGACCAATTGACTCGTCGATAATTGGAACGGCAGTCGCATTTAAATAAATTCCTACTCTGGGGCGAGAATTGGCCGACAACGGTGGGAAGAAAAAATGTCTTCATATTAGTTTAACTTCCGAGTCAAGTCGGCCCACTAACATTGGAGGTTTTTCGGCCTGGCCCGATGGCGTCGCGCACCGAACTCGGGCAACAGAGAGTGTAGAGTGGTGAGTGATCGCGGTTAAAATTAGTCGATCCTTCATTGGGCGAGATCGGCCCATGGAGGAGAAAAACAAGCAATGGCCAGATCTGTATTGCTTCAATGGATTTGCTAACTTTTACGTTATAGTCCCACAAAGAGTGGTCTTTGTCGCTCAGAAATCCACTGCTGAGTGCTCCAGACTCTCTAATCTCCACGTAGGAATGAAGGGTCAGGAGGGTTTCCCCAGACCTCTAAAGCTACCCGTCCCGTCACCAGCGACTCAAGAATCAAAGATATATGTCGTTGTAATGTAAAAAGAGCCTCATCATAGCCGCGCGCTTCTTTCAGCTCAAAATTTTCAGCCTCCTTCGCCAAGCTACTGCAAGTTTGTTTTGGAGGAATTGACTGCCGGAGTTTCTAGCCGACTTCTGGAACGACAAGAGATTTCTAGCGCCGAGGGTCTAAACTGTATTGAGGATGAGTCAGGGCGAAGTGGATACAAGGGCGCCGATCGCGCTCCGGACTTGGCGGAGCTTGTGAAGAGGCTATCGGGAAGACGGCAAAGGCATGGATGGAGACTGAGGAGAGGTTCTGATAAGCTGAGCTATGTATTGCCCGGACTAGGAGAGGCAAGAAAACTGCAGGCATATATACTGAGAGACAAAAAGACTAAGGCCAATCTACTGAAGATTTAGGGAAGATTTAGTGGACCTTTAGACTATTACTCTAGGAAAAGATAAATTAAAAGGTATAAAAAGGGTAAATCAACTTATACTATGATAGTACTATATTAAAATCCTATATTAAAAAAAGGTAAATTGGCTAATTTACTATTATAATAGATAGTAGGGATGTACTGGTGATTATGGCTGATTTATCTAACTAGTGAAAAGTATACTTTGAAGCAGCTTGTTAACTAAAGTTAATTATCTCGTTTACTAAGCTAACATCTTTCATCTAAGAAACAAGAGGCAGAGATTAAGAGTCTAGACAGGCTCTTCCCGCTTTTTATGATCCGTGGTAAGAGGCTCCCAAATAAGATAGACATCGCTTGTAGATGAACTTAATGCCGGGCCATGATATGACACTTTTCCAGCATAATTCTGAAGGCTTCTGTAATAGGCGAGTTCAGGACGCCTTGGATCCACCAGTATGATCTTTGAACTGTCTCGCCCGTGGTCGCGCAGCAACTTTGCGCGGGAGACGGCGTCATCTCTGCTTTTGTATGCAGGTATAAACGGCGCACGTGAACCCGGATAGTCAAAGGCCTGTTCCAGTGCCTCACGCAAAGCCGCAAGGAGACTTTCGTATGTGTTTTCAGGAAGAGCCTCTCTCTTCGGTAGTCTGTAGTTTGCCTCAGTCGCTCGACGAGGGTTGAGTTTTTTTTTCTTGTCGACCTCGACGTCGCCGGCTGCCACCCAGTATTCTGTAGCAGATGACGTATTGGATGTGGAACTCATTTGAAAGATAAGGTAAACAGCAGGCTGAATGGCTATCTTTGAGAGCTAGAAGCCCATCGGGGGGATTTGTTCGATCCAGAGTCGGATAGCACAATGGCGTTGAATGTCCGATGATGGCTGACTGGAAGGGGAGAGCGACTAGCTGGTCCTTAAATGTAGTCTGTTTCCTACGTCTGCTTATCATAAAGAACCTCATGGTATACAATATTACCACCCCTTCTTTTGAGCTCTGTACTGTTGCGAACATTTTGAGGCCCTCCACAACGGTTAACTATTGGCTTATGAAGTTGGCTCATCATCATACGATTAATGCAAATGCTCTTATTGGGTTGCTGTTATTCCAATAGATTCCTAGCGGTGCGGTCTCCAACTTCACTTATTGGCTTGTGGCAGAGGCGGATCAATATTGATTGCTTTCTTGTGGCACAGCAGAAAGGTTACGCCTGGCTAGACTGATAGACGAGTCGTATGACCAGTCGCAGGGGGCTGTGTCCAAAATGAGGCCTGCCAAGTCCACTAAGGTGAAGTGCAAGCCAATTCGTATCCTGGAACGACCCAATCATCACCTCTGGGAAAGCTTTCTTCTTTTCTACAAAAGTGCTCCCGCCCAATCGCAATGAACCAGATAAAACACACTTGACATGTCACTCCAGAAGCCATGGGCTGCTACCTGTCCAAACCTCCTAGAACGAAAACCCTCTACAGGGGGGTCCCAAGCCTGGTGACGAAGTAGGTTTCCCACAGCCACACCAAGACGAGAGTTTGAAACGTATTTGGAGTGACACAGTGATGTTACTGACACTATGGTAACGTGAATAGCCACAATCGATCGATGACAGGCTCAGGCGGAAAATAATGAGTATGCTGATATGGTGTTGGAGAGGCTTCCAGACCGACAAGATATTATAATCGAACAGTTTGCGAATATCGCGTATGGGCTCTCAACTGGTCGTGCTCTTTGAGTCAGAATCAAGGCCAAGCAGTAGAGCAACAATTAAGCCGATGTCTTCGTCAGGTATAGATCATGAACACATGAAGTTTATCAAGATTAATAGTTATCTACGACTTATCTAGCGGTTGATGTGGCTAAAAATAAGTGACAATTAAGAGTCGATCAAGGCGCCGATTCCGCTCCGGACTTGGATGAATCTGGGCATTATCGTGCGATCGAGTGGAGTTGAAGGGTAGGGGTCTTCGGGGGAGCTAGCTGAACTCCAGAAATCAGATTTGGCCGAGACCGACGACCCATTGTCTGTGCTGATAATGAGATGGAGACGACGTGGGGCCAATGTTGAATCCGAGAGCGGTAGTCTTCGCCTCTATACCAAGTCGACCAAGCTGCATACCGCCGGAGATTTCCAGAAAGCTTGAATGTAGAGCCAAGACTTGCCGAACTTCACTACGTACATGCCAGCTAACCCCAGGTTCTTGTAATAGGGCTGTTTAACCCGAATTTACACTACGTAATACTTGTCAGTGGTTCTCGGCAGTCTACTGACCTTGCTCGACGGAAATGAGTGGGGAGCGGGTAGAAGCGACTGTGTGATTAGTTTACCATGCACAAATCATATTCATGCAGCACGAGTCTCAGATTATGATAGATTGTAACGAGTGTCCATTTATGCTATACTGACTCCATATCCTCTTTGTCTTCATGTCATATTTGTAGTCCGATTCTCTAAGTCCTTGGCTAACCTGATATTCAGAGATCATCATCATCGCCAGTCTTCTTGCAGCAGGTCCAGCAAGGATAGTCTTCGTCTCCCTAAAGCCTGTTAGTAAAAAGTTCGTCTTCGTCACTACCAGGTAGCATACAAATTTCTTGGAGTTCTGGTCAAATAATTAGCAATGATCAATCGAGAATAGGCTTTCTTGTCACTTACCCAGCCTTCGGGGCATTTTGGCTCCTCGGGCCAGCAGACCTTGAGGCAGACTTCGTAGTTGTGGACGTTGACGACGCCCTTGTGGTTGGGGGAGAAGGTTTTCTTGGAAGAGGGCTGGGAGACCTGGATGCGGAGGCTACACAGGTCGTGTTAGTATCGAGTTGTGGAACTGAGCAAGATTGACTAAGATGGGACGTACGTGATCTCCTCGCCGCTGGACTGCTTGGCGTTGAGGGAAGACCAAGGTATAGCAGCGATGCTGTTGGCAAGGAGTAGAGTGGAAGCCATAGAGAACTTCATTCTGGAAATCTGAAAGTGTAGTGATGTAGTGTAGTGTAGTGTATTGTAGTGTGAAAGTGAAGCTGTTGAGGATGGTGGGATGAGCGAACAGGCGGACAGACCCTCGACCTTTATAGATTTTTCTTCCACCCAAATCTCAACCATCATCCTACTTATCGAGTTCATCAACATGCGCTGTGCTACATGTCCCCCTCATGATCAGCAACTTGTCTGACTATTCCTTGATTCACTTACCGATGGTCCGTATGTCTCACAGGTCTGTCCTAGGAATGCTCCTCCTTGCGTCGATCAATCATGCAAGGAGGATAGAGGTGATGGTCTACCAAATACGGCACGGGAGCGGAGCGGCTTGATCCCTGTTGTAAGACATGAGTAGGAGCGATCGACGATCTGGTCTCACTTGTGTACATCCTCCCGATGGTCCTGGTGGTAACTTTTGGTGTTGTCGGAAAGTCGCAGCTGGACGTACATCGTGCTTAGCTGAACTGAGACCTTTAAGGTACTGGTGCATACATTTTGGGCAGAATTCCGGGACGAAAGGATCCCTCGGAGATCCTGATGCGAAGACTGCTGACTGTGATTAGTGATATAGTTTAACTCTAAGACTAGTAACATTTTTGTAATTCTAGAGTTTACTGTTTTAAACATATATAATCTCATCTCCGGCAGCCTTTGCTTTGGTGTGGAACCTGGGCATGGCAATGATTCCTTGGGCGAGGAAGAGGGTATACACGATAGAGAACTTCATGTTGAATGGTTGAAGTTTTGTCCTGGTGAGAGACAAATTGATGCTGATGATAATCCGTTGAGCAATTAGATCAGGAATTTGAGCTTTTACACTGTTTTAATATGCCTAACATATGCAACTGCCGTTTGACTACCAAATCCTCCATCTTGAGCTCCTTGGTTCCCTCGCAGCTAGCGGTTCCGGGGTAACACTTGTCTGCTGTTTGATGATCCGTCTGTAACGACTGTGCAAGGAGGATCTACGCTCTGGAGAAGACAGAATGGGCCGAAGGGCGTTAATCTGCGAATGAGGACTTAGATACAGACGGTCAAATCGTCTCTATACATTTAGAATAGTATTATGAGCACAGAGAATTGTAGCAATAGGTGAAGATTGGATATATGTCTATTCTTCCGGGCAGGAGTTTCAATCTGCGACATCGTTCAGCGGCAGTATGGGAATGTCGCAAGACGCGGGGTTTATGTTCGACCAGTAATGCAGTGTTACAAGAGTTCAAGCGAAAGTGCCTCGATCGAGTCGCCTGCAGCGGACTATCGGAAGTCGAGATATCCGTGCTACCCATGTTTCATTTCACTACCTTAGTGTTGAAGCCCAATGGTGCATTGAAGTTCAATTGCCACTCTTTGCGGGAGCGAGGGAGGTTTCTAGGCTCATATGCCATGGACCTTGGACTATGCAAGTGGAGGACAACGACGTTCCCTGAGAAATCTAAGTTATGTTCCCAAAACTACATGAAACTTCTACTTCAGTACCTGGGATGCTGTTTGAATTATTAGATGGCTTCACATCGCTGAGAATAATACCTAAGTTCACCTATATGCGGTATTTGAAAACGTACTCGAGGCGATTAACTCAAAGTTTAAACCCATAGTCAAGTGGAAAAACAGAACTTTGTGAAACTTGCATCTTATATCTCTACTCCCCAGGTTCAAAAAGGCAGTTATGGAAGGACTAGCTGTATGGTGTTTGACTTGAACTCAAGCTCTTTGTATGCCCAAATCATTTTTTTCTTCATGTACCTCTTCTCAAAAGCGTCCCTTCCTCTCGCCCTCACACCAAACCATTCTCCCTCAAGAGTGACATTAACCTTCTTCGCATTCTCTAACATCTTATGCCATGATACATTTGTCTGGGAGTTTCCTGGGAGCACGAAGTCGCGCTCTATAACCATATACGGATTCAGCTTAATAATAGTATCATCATCCATATGCAAGCCCTTGTGCTTCTCCTCGCGCTCTTGTGTCGCCTCCCCGAAATTCCACTTCAGCTGATCAGCATAGATCTTGAAGAGCCCATATTCGATAGCTCTCATTGTTATCGGAGACCCAGGCCCCCAGAATCTAACGTGATATGGTCCTGCGTTCTTAAGTCGAGCTCTAATGATGATTGGGGATAGGCCGATCTGTTGAATGTCCAGATCCAGCTGACGAACTGCTTCGATCTCATCTTTTGGCTGGTGCCAGCTGTGGGCCCAATCAGGTTCACCATATAGATCGTGAGGCATGGGTGGAAGGTTGCTGGTCGGCTTCACGTTTGGACCCGGAACGATATAAGGTGGGGGCTTCGGTATAAAGCCAGCCAAGACAAAGTGTCCCAGAAGTCCTAGAAGATGCAAGAAGGAGAGCGATATTTTGGACCTCATGACAGATACCAGGGTTTTTTGAGTTTGGAAGATGGTGTTTGTGAAGAGTTTGAGTTAAAGAGAGAAAGTTATGCGGTTGACATGTTCTGTTGAATGATAATTGAGGACACTATATACCTAGATTTAAATTTTAAAGTGGAAAGACGCTGTAATAGATTTAACTTTACTTCTAGATAGCCATGATATTAACATTCAAGGCTCCTCTGGAGGCGGAAGCTTATTAAGTGATGAGCAGTACGCTGAAGCCTCGTTACCATATTAAGAGGGATCAGTGAGATCAAGAAGGGATATACATGGGTTGATTATCAGCCATCAACTTGAGCCCTGAAGAGAACAGATTCCGGAAATACCGAGCTCGGGGCGTCGTTTCGCTAAGACGTTTCTAGGTGAGAGAAGGATTATCTTGGTGAATTGAAAGTTATTCAACGCCTCGGCATTCTTACTATGTAGAAGTTAGCAGTACCAAATCATCAATCTTCCGCTGATTTTCTATAATTGCAACAGGTGATATTAGACGTCATTTAAACCAAAGCAAACGTCTCGACGAAGTAGATGAAGTTAGGAATATATATTTGTTGCACTTGGGCTTTGTGGCAGCATATGCACTGCTCATGCACTAGAAAGCTGCCAGTCCCTTGACATTGATTTGATAAATCACTAAACTCATTCATATCACGGCTGTTGCCCGTTAGGAAATAATCCCGGAAAAACACCTTCTTTCCAACCCCACAATGAGGGCCTCATAACAACCTAACTGGGAAGCAAGGAGCATCCACTCTCAACAGAGGTTGCGTTATACATAATGGAATGATTGATACCGGGTACTTTGTCTTTCCGGGCCGTCGGACAAAATTCGAGGAATGTGTATGCCGTGTCTCACTTACATAGCCGCTATGCAAGGATCTCTATCCGGCAGTGCAGTCGTAAGATATCAGCGCTTATGCAGGGAGAATCTTGAATCTATGACACAACTCTATGCAGGTCGGGGACTTTCGCTCAGCTGAATAGCTCCGTGAGGCTAGAGAAGAAAACTAATGCAAGGAGGAAGACAATGGTTCAGATTGGAGATAATCATCTTCGAGGATTGGAGCTGAAGCGTGTCTGAGACATGATTGACCAGTATTCAAGGCCCAATCCTTTTCGGTTATCGAAAGACAATATTTGCAGGGCTTATCGACGGGGTACTCTAAACCCCTCCGGAGACAAGCTCCTCGATCGGTTACGCTCTCTTTCCATTCTTTCCTCTGAAGCTCTGATTTTACCACCAGTTTCAGGATCCCATATCCAACCTTCCTTAAGCCACATCCATCGCAAATAAGCCCTCAACTCTTTATCAAGTGGCACAACCCTTTTCCACTCAGGCTCAAAACCCCGCACTGCATTCAAGCCATTCCAATCGTCGGCTGAACCCCTCAACATGTCTCGATGAAAGATCCGATAGCTATCAATGGCGTACGGACCAAGTGACGGCAAATGTGCCACTTCCCAGCCCTGTCTCACATCATCTTCATCCAAGACTTCATCCTTTCCAATGTCTAACCCATCGCCCTGCAGGGGATAATGCAGCTTTCTGTACCGCCTTGATTTATTGGGCGGTTTCTCAAGCCATGTCTTAGCGAAGGCGATGAACCGAGCGGCGCGGGAGTTGTAGAGTCCTATTGGACGGATGATATCTGCAAGGTCGGAGAAACATGCTTCTGCGAGGTGAGTTGGTGTTGGGTACCGAGATATGAGCTTTTGGAAAACAGGGCGGGCTTGGGATCCTCGGGTCCTGTTCCAAAGAACGGCTGCAACGAGAAGTTTGTACAGATCTCTTCCGACGGTTTCTTGGATCAGACCGAAACGCTCCTTGGAGATTGGAGGGATTCGCGATGCCGAGAGCACTACTCCAGTGGGTACTTTTCGTGGCGCTGTCTTGCGTTTCTCAACTTTGATGACTTTTGTGTTACTTATATCGTTCTTGACCATGGAGCGTGTGACACGTCGATGAGTCTGTAAAACGAGCGTATTAGTTTGATCCTTCATGGCTTAACTGGAAGAAATGACACAAATGGTATATCTAAAACTTCAATTGTTTCATGAAACGTTGGGTCTCATTAAAGAGGGAGCAGTTCAATGCCGACTCCAGTAGAGCTAGGTCCATGACGCAATGGACATCTACCAAGAAAGATCCCCCGCACTGAGGAACGAGGCCAGCCACCAAGTGAGACACGAAGACTTTGTTCAACATAGGTCATTTTACTCATGAATCATGTGTAACGAGATGAAACCGTTATTGGAATTTTGTGCACCGTCGTAACCGTTACACGCTCATAGTTGACACTACATCTCCACAAACTGCGTGTTCATAACGGCGCCGTTAGTTTCATAAATCATATGACTCTATTCATTAATTATGAACATGTCACTATGCTATGAAAAATACTCAGCCTTGGTAAATCTCAAGTACGGCTTAACCTCCCTAACATCACCAAACTTCTTCTTCGCATCCTCCGTCGAAACAGAAGGCGGAACAATAACATCTTCGCCAACCTGCCAATCAATCGGCGTAACAACGCCCTCCTTATCACCACTCTAAAGAGAATCAATCACACGCAGAACCTCAGTTGAGTTCCGACCAGTTGAAGCAGGATACATCATTGTCATCAACCCTTCCAAGAAGATTCGACTGACTAAGACTGAGCGGATGGTGAAAGCGATGCCTTTCACTGCGATGTTTTCGAGGTCTTCTTGGCTGAACATATCCTAGAGGAAGGCGACTTTACGGTCTGCGTCGGCGATGATGGGGAATTAGAGGTTGGTGTTTGAGACTTCGTTGATGTCGTCTACACATTTGTCGCGAGAGCTGAGATCATTGGCGCTCTAATCATGACCATTAATACTTTTACCTCTGCATGAGAATGATAATGAGAACACTTCGCATTCCAATCATCTTCACACCTCCTCTTATCGAACACCCTCCCGAACCAAGAGCAAGGGAATTAGCCACGTGTAAGACTGGAACGAGACAACACCGGAAGAAGTAAATGGTTGATTGAGAAGATACTTGATTCTAGGATTACCGGGAACCTACGAGGAAACAGGAGATTGGAGTGTTGTTAGAAGTGGAAAGGTCATTCACCCTCGTGGCGACCTCAGCAGGACCTGGTACTAGGGAGCGAGGCTTTCCATTACAGCTATCTAGAGTCGACGGCAACGTGGCGCAATCAGCTACTCTCGATCATTTTTATGTACAGTTTATTTGAATCATTTCACGTAACATTTGATAGAAGGAAGCAATTAAAACCTCCATGTAAGCTTTAGTGACATTCCCGTATTACCTACCTACAGCCTCACTATAAGGGACTCGGCGAGTGGTGGCTTCTTTTTGGTTTGAGGAGGATATGGGCAAGATATGGACACTTAAGTGAAATTGATTACCAGGATGATAAATGAGATAAAAGAAAACAAAACAAAAGAGGGTGGTAACGAAATTAACGCCTGAGCACAAGTTAATCCGGAGCTGAAATGTTGTGTAACACACCTGCAGGTTTTTGAGACATTTTAATATCACGAATGGAACAATAATTTGCGAGAACCAAGGGACTCCCTATTAACTACCTACCTATATAAAGACCTTCCAGCGCCATCATGCTTCCTTGCGTCTTCTTACCCGTGAAAGAAGTGAGCGATTTCAGATTTGTCTACTGGGCCGTTGATCACGATGTCGCTCAGCTGGATCCGGATGTTTCTCGTCCTCCCCACTCTTGCAATCTCGGCCGCAGCACTGCCACATGAACGTCGAGAGGTCCCAGCCACTGCTGAGCCGATTATTACTCCTGTCGAGTGTCCTCACCATAACCCTGAAGTCCAGGATGGGTCAGTATATTCGGTATTTCTACTTCAGTTGGCTATTCAGAATACTTATTTGCCCACAAGGACTCTCGTCGCCCAGCTCTGGAGACAGAACTGTGACCTCGTGACAAAGTTTCTCAACAATGCATTCACTGCTGCCCAAGCGGCACAAACCTCCGAAGGGACTCTAGAGTCACTGCAATACTATTTCATAGTCCGTATTTAGCCATTTACGATCCTGATTGACCTGCTGCATATACTTAACTCTCGTGCAGCAAGATTATTACTATCTCACCTTGACAGTCCCTCATAAGGCGTATCTCTTGAAATCCTTGGATCCAGAAGAATCTGCCGCTGACCAGACATCGGCCATCAACGAAACAGTTCTGGATATGACGTCGGACCTCGAATACGCAAGCCATTTTCGTCAGGACCTTACAAGTCCTGATCATCTCAACGTGAGCAGCACCGTTGTCAAAAACGCGAAGCTCGAGCCCGTTCTACGACAATATGTCGATTGGCTGGGAGAGAATACAAAACTCGGCTGGTACCTCTTCAGCATATCAAGAGTCCCCTGCATCTACGTGAGAAGCCCACGACAGCGGTGTAAACTTATGCTAACGCATTTCAGGGATGGGCTGAGATTGCGTATCAGCTAAATCAGTCGTCTAGCACAGTGAGAGGTCCGTACAGGGAGCTCAATTCAGGAAAACATGAACTGATATTGTCAAGGGACAAAATTCTTCGACGAGTGGATTTCTCCGAACCTTGACTGGAGCTATGGAGCTAAGCTGTCCGGTAGATGCGAGTGGTCCGCTCTGGTGATTGCCTGACTAACTGGGAGTAGTTGAGTTGCAGGAAGTGCTGAGCGCCAACAACAACACTGAGACATTTGCTGTTGCCAATGGGCTCTTCCGCCAGGCCCTGGAATTTGAGACTGCCTTTTTTGAGAGTGCAGTGGGAAAGGTTCTCGAAGACTGAAAAGAGCCTTGGTTTTGAGGATATCTTATGCTTCAGTGTGCTTTGAGGCATGGCAGCAATTTGGCATGCGTTCTGCTTTGGTTGCATCTGGGGCTTGTGTTTTTCTCTCTGCGCCATGGCAAGTAGTGTTGTCTGACTGCTGTCTCATACGATGATACCCATAGCTTACTTGAGGCATACATCAAAGGGTTTAAATGTCTCCATAAAGATTAAATGTTAACATTTAGAATGATATCTTGTCCCGTCTAAGTTGATCAAGTAAATTTTCAAAATGAGATGCAATGGTGATGCCTGGCCACTTGAATTAACAGAATTTGCACCGAAAGGATGAGCTTGAGCAACGGGATCGGGACAAGGGGTGAGACAGAGTCTTTTTCGTGTCCAAGTCCTCTACTAATGGAGACTATCAAGATAGGCCTACAGTCCAACAAGCTACTAGGATATTAGGAAGTGAAGAATGCTGACCGTCTCAATAACTTGATTGCGAGCGCCTTTGAGCAAGCAAACTTTTCGGGTTATCTCCAAGGACCAATGAGGGCACGGTTGAAAGCCGTGGATGATGATAACTATGAGAATGGATGACTTTGTTCTGCCTGGATGATTGATCCTTGTCATAAAATTGAACAGATTTCTTATGGCGGGTGCCCCTCAAGTCTTTGTATCCTCTCGCAACGCCCAAGCTGTCGAAGACGCATGCTCGGAGCTAAGCAAGCTAACTGACCTTTCTTCTATGTCCTGATTTGTGGAGAAGACGGAGTGTGTCTCTTCTCGGGTGTGTCGATATGAATACAGCTCACTTGGATATAGTTCTTGCGAACACAGGTTACGGTCATTCAGAGGCTTTCTCACTTGTTTTATATGCATAGAGAAATATGAACTGCTTGCGCCGGGTATATACAAACGCACTATACCTGATCACCTTACAGTTTGCTCCCCATTTTGAGCAGCTCGCCCGTATCAACCATGGTCACGAGGGCCTTGGTATTCAGTAATCCCGGGTGAGCCTCACTTAAACGTTGGATTCCACACAGCTGCATGGCATTTTCCAGCTCATCTCGCAAGACTGGTAGGAATTGGTTAGCCTCAGTCACTTATGACTTCATTGTTCTTACTCACTGTTCATCAGATGCCGCACTCCATCTTCTCCGTACATCAGAGCATAGAAGAAAGGTCGGCCAAGACAGACTCCGTGAGCACCGAGACAGATGGCTTTAAAAATATCTGTGCCTCGACGAATACCCCCGTCGATAAAAACACTCATTTGGGATAAGAGCTTTGGGCACTTGATGTTGATCTCAGCCAGAGTCAGAAGCGCTGGCTGCGAGGTGTCGACACCACGCCCGCCATGATTCGATATGTAAATTCCTTCGCAGCCGCTTTCCAAGGCTTTTATGGCGTCTTCAGCACACTGTATCCCCTTTACAAAGATGGGTATTCCCAACTTTTCCTTGATGGTTTGGATCTGGACCCATGTGACGTCCGGGTTGATTGCTGCGCTGGCGGCGCGGGACTGCTTGGTCTGTTTCTTGTTCTTTGACTCACCCTTTTCTTTCGCCATTCTCATTTCGTAACGCTCGTTGGCCTCTCGTTTACTAAAGACCGGCAGATCCACAGTTACCATGACAGCCTTTGGTGAAGCACGACGAATCTCATCCAAGAGCTTGGCCAATGCTAGGGAATCTCGGGGAATGTACAGTTGGAAAAAGAAAGGATGGTTCTGGGGCAGAGCCTCAATAACCTCGCCTAGTGAGTATGAGGCAAGTGTAGGCATTATTATGGTGCTTCCGGACGCAGACAGTCCCTTTGCCAACCCAACCTCGGCGGACGGGTGCGTCAGCATGGCCAAGGACGCGGGAGCGTTGAAGATAGGGACGTCGAAACGGTGACCCAATATCGTTGTGCTTGTATCCACCTGACTAATAGGTCTACAGACTCGAGGTCTCAGAAAGACTGACTGATATATCTCGGCGTTCTTGGACGCTGTGTAGCAGTCATTTGAGGCACCGGAAACGTATACCCAGGATCGTTCGTTGAGACAAGATCTTGCAGCATCTTCAAAGTCTTGCAGGTTTATGATGGAGTCAAGCGGCGGAGGACTTTTGATCAGCTTGGGGTTTTCCAAAGCCTGCTGATCCTGAGCTCGGAACAATTCTGGGACTCTTCCAATAAGTTTCGTCTCTCCAAAATAGCTCATTGCCAGCTTTGGGCCGTGGATGGAATTGTAGACTTCGGAAGCGTCTTTTCCGTGGTGCTCTTCAACGACATCTTCACCTCCGGGATGTGTTTCGGCAAAGCCGGTAACGTCCCAGACATCTCTATTAATGATAATCCAGGCATCGTTGGAGTCTGTGTGACGAGAGACTTCCCTTCGCGTCAGGTCTTGGCGAGTCATCACGGATGATTTAACTGTGCACAAGGCCTTCCAGTAGGCCAAGATATACCAGAGATGCACAGGGCGCCACTACGTACTTTAATAAATAGTGCTTTAGTAAAAGTTTGGGTCTGTAGGTTCCACGTCCACCCAGCATGCGCCCTCCCATTACACGCCCGCCAGCTGACTGCATTACACCTTCTAATCACATCAAAACTTGCTTGTTAATTAGCAGCTCTACTCTGCGCTTACTTTTACTTTATGGCGAATATGCAATAATAGATACGCGCAGGAAAAATGTCGCGGATAGACAATCCTTATGGATATTTGGAAAGGAGAGACCTAGCACTACTGCACACACCTCCTGGTCTAATTTGGTGAAGCAACGAAGTCTATATAAAATGATCTGAAGAATGGTTAATCTCTCAAATCAGCCTGAAGATCTTCCGTCATCTTTTACGGTTCCTGGGACCTGGCACAAGTGAAATATCTTGCCATCCCTATCAATCTGCATCAACTCTCCGCCTATATGACATGCGCGCACGCCTCTCTTAGCAACAGAACCTCCTCTTCATTCGGATGAAGCATAAATTGCATATTGACGTAATAGAAAAAAAATAACAACATCTCCAGGGATCTTGTCCAGACGGATCTCCCGTCTACGTTAATTAAGTAATTTTCCAAAATGAGATGCAATGGTAATGCCTGGTCGGTGACAGATTTCACACCTAAATAAACGGCTTCAAGGGGGAAATGCCGCGACTTTATGCTTGATGGGCTGGACGAAAGAATGGATTGGTGGCTTGAGCCAGTGACCGTCAGCTGAAGTTGCACTGCAATTATAGATCGAATCCAGATGGAACTCGGACATGGCTCGCTGATTAGGCACCGACTGATTAGGCTGAAAGAGGCTGACAACATCTGCATCTGCATCTGCAGCTTTTACAATTCCGCGACGTCGCCGTTGAAACTTTCTTGTTACCCTGGCAGGGCTGTTCGACCACGCCCGTAATCTTTCCATAATGCCTTCCAACATGTTTCAGTACAGACCTCTCGAGCACCTAGATTCTTTCCGACTCCTTCATCTGGAGCCTAGTCTCAACCACAGCGCAGATCTCAAGGGCTCGTTACATCACGCTACACTCTCGGATTGTGACTATGACCTGATCGAACCTTATACTGCTTTGTCCTACGTCTGGGGTGATGCAAGCCAGAGGGGCGCGATACACCTAGGTGGTAGCGCCAAGGAGATCACTGCCAGCCTTGACGCTGCTCTCCGAGACATGCGCGACAAGAGCCGAGTTTGTCGGATATGGGCAGATGCTTTGTGCATCGATCAGTCAAATAATGCTGAAAAGGGTGTGCAAGTCGCGCTCATGGGTAGGATATACTCTACTGCGCATCATACTGTAATTCATCTCGGCCAGTCGCCCCCAGGATTTGAGAAATTGTTCATAAATCTCAAGATTCAGAGTCAGACCACGATGCATGGTAACACGTCAGACCTTGGGCAGCTTTCATTGGCAGCGGATGAGATCGACGGTATGCGACGCGACCTACTATCAAAGCCATGGTTCCGTAGAGTCTGGGTTTTCCAGGAGCTCGTGCTTTCCACAGATGTCTGGGTTCAATGCGATAACCTGCGAATCCGGTGGCACCACTTCTGCAAGGTTGTCGACACCAAGAATGTCGTCGCGGCCATGTTACTTGACACGCTCTCTGATAGCATCGCTCAGCAGGGCCAGCCTCGAAACGCAACTCCCTTGGAGGACATGAACAGTAGACGATACGGTGCGTTTGAAGCACCACTATCTTCGCTTCTTTCCTGTCGGAGAGGGATCGGGGCCACTGACCCTCGAGATATCGTATTCGGTCACTTGGGTGTTGTTTCAGATCGAGATAGGTGTGATAGGTTTATCAAGGTCGACTACGATAGAGACCTTGCGCGCGTGTCGGTTGATGCTGCTCGGTATTTCTTGGATGCCACAGGTATCGAGAGTCTCCTCTCGCATGCTATGAACCCTTCTCCCATTACCGCCCCCGGAATCCCGTCTTGGTGTCCTCGTTGGTCTAGGTCGCAGCTCTCTTGGGAGACCATACACAAAGTGGGTAGGAAATTCGGTGGTGGTGATGATAGCTCCTATGTCTCCTTTGGAGGCACTCATCACATATTGCTATCCGCACCACCAGTCCTAGCCATTAGCGGATTCGAGGTGACCAGGTTCAAGGCGACAAGTCATGCATTTCCAAGCTGTGGCGATGAAGCTAGGGCTCAAGAGGAGTCCAAGGCTGTGGCCCTCGAGCTGCTCCAAGACATAAGGTAAACACGGCTCTATCTCGAGAATAGATGACGTTCGTGGACTGACCTGTTTGTCGTCACAGATCCCTAACCAAAGATGAAGCTTCAATTTTGAACTCTTGCAAAAGAGCAGGGACCAAATATGACGAACAGAGGCAGAAGCTGTTCAGAGAGTCCTTCAAGACCTGGGTTGATGCGGCCAATGCTCAAGAGTATCCTACGGCTGGACCACGCGATGTCCAACGTATCACCGATGCTCTCATCCATCACGTCAAGAAGCCCGAAGCAAGTCCATTATCTGGCAAGAGACTTGCCATCACCTCAAGCCACCACTGTGCACTCGTCCCAGAAGAGTCCCAAGAAGGCGACATAGTGGCTATGCTTGTTGACTGCTACAAGCACGCGGTGCTGCGGCCGAAAGGAGTGAATAATTTTGATCACCTCAATAACCTAATTACGAGCGCCTTTGAGCAAGCGAACATTTCGGATTGTCCCCAAGGACCGATGAGGGCACGGTTTACAGCCGTGGATGATGATGACTATGATGAATGGATGTTGGTTTGGGAGAGAGCTGCTCAATCTTTTTCAATTCAGCATTGTTTACTTGTAGGACAGTGCTACATTGATGAATATGTTCCTTGGAAACGGGGTCTTCCGAGATCTGGGTTCAGGGTGTTTGCTCTTTATTAGCTCGTGGTGGAGTAGTTCTAGTGGAATTCACACTGTTAACGATTGAGCATTCTATTGAGGTAGTTTTCGAGACTCAATTACCCTGGAATAACAATAAGAAATCTAGTTAACTTTATAATGGATTGTGCAATCTGTATCTAAATTAACCCATTCCATGACCTGATTTCGTGGGCTTTTGGTGACTTTTCTACTCATCATCACGTCATTATGAGCTTCCCATGAGAGTTTCATTTGGTGGGCCTATCTTCCAAAGAGATCGGCCCTCGGTTATTATTTGTGTATATCTATATTCCCGGCTCCGACTCAATTGGAGTATTCCGTCGATGTTAAAGCAAGTGTTTAACTGAACATGAAATCTACAGCTATGAAGCCACTCATCTTAGCGGGTGGAAAATCCACTCGAATGGGATTTCCGAAACATCTCCTCACCATGCCTGATGGCCGCCCTTTATATCAACGCCAAATCGAGGTTTTACGCAAAGCATGCCCTAAGGTAGAGACTATCTACATTTCTCTTGCTCAAGATTCTGAGTTGGATGAGCTTCTACAGAACGCCGGCAAGGTTTCGTACGAAGCCACTCCAGGAGAAAATAGCATCGAGATTATTCTGGACCTGGAATCGAGTCAAGGGGATGAGTCGAAGGGGCCAGCAACGGGAATACTTGCTGCCTGTGATTCAGATCCTGAGGCGACTTGGTTGGTTGTGGCCTGTGACTATCCTTGCATCACTACATCTGCCCTTCAAGAATTACAGTCACGCTACAAACCTCCTGTTACATGCTTTAAAAACCACGAAGGCTTCTGCGAGCCTCTCTTGGGGATATGGAGTCCAGAAGCTATCAGCCATCTCAAGGAGAACTGCAAAGCAGGAAAACTCAGTCCCAGCAAGGCTGTTCGGGAACTTGACGGTCACACGTATCTTCCTGAAGACTCGGAAGCATTACTACGAAACGTAAACCGCAAGTCGGAATGGGAAGATGCCATGAGATCACTGAGAGATGAGCCGACAGACAATTTCATGGAAGAGCCTTTGGAGGTGCTGTAAAGTGATGTATTTCAGGATACCAGAGAGTCATTCATGGGATAGCAATATACCATCTGTCCCGTCTCGATGACCTCGTTGTCTTGATGTGAATCCAACAATTTGCCTGCACGAAAGGCGCCATCTTAGCTGGCCCCAACACCCCAGCAGCTTCGTGGACTGTAAGTCCATCGCCGCCTGTTATTTGCAGAACTCCAGGTCTGAACCTGTCACAGTTGAGTCCTCTGTTGGGCGCATCCATAATGCTCTTCCGTGATGAACTACCTAGTTGGAGGTTCTCCAAGCGCGCAAGTACAGGCTTCTCCGGCTCTTGACCCAGAAGATGGCTTATATACGGGACAGTCAAGAATTTGAAGCAGGCTGCTGCTGCGCCGGGGTTACCGGGTAGTCCAAAGAAAGCTACCTCACCCCAGGCAGAAGAGAGTAGTGCGAAGAGAGCCGGATGGCCCGGACGGACAGCTACGCCGTGGAACACGATGGTTGCACCAAGGGTTTCCAGTGCCTGACGAACGTGATCGAACTTTCCAACGGATACACCTCCACTTGTAATCATGATATCCACCGCCGATGATCCCAATCGGTCTTTTATGGTCTGAACAAGAGCATCCACTTCATCTGTAATTGAGCCGCCAAAGGTTGCATCGGCCCCGGCTTCTTTCGACGCCGCCGTCAAGTATACTCCATTGACGTCTCTGATATGAGACTTTAGAGAGGTCAATTCGTTGCCGGTCGACCAGATACAGACTCTAGGCTTCTTGCGCACCTGGGTCGTTTCAATTCCTACAGATGCGAGCGGCCTGATGTGTGATGTCCGGATAGTGACTCCTTTCTTCATCACTAGATCTCCCTTCTGAATGTCTTCACCGGCGAACCGACGATTGGCGTATCTTGGTATCGGCTTGCTGATGGCGATACACGTCCCGAGCCCTGGTTCCTTTGCTGCAATCCTGATAGTGTCTTCGACCTTGACGCATGCGTTAAATACCTCTCCAAGTTGACCTTGCGGAAATCGTCCCCCAGTCATGATCTCGAAACAAGGCTCGGGTCCATCGCGCGTATGACGCAAAGGGAGAGTGAGAGAGTCATCGCCAGCAGCGATTGTACCTTTGACGCAAAAGAAAACCGGGTGCTCTGCAGAAGCTAATCTTGTACTCTCTGAGCAAATTGCGTAGCCATCCATTGCGGATGTGTCGAACTCTGGTGTTGAGATGGAACTGAAGTGATCGCATGCCGAGACGCGACCGACAGCTTCTTCAATTGGCACGACTTCATAATAATCTTTTTTTCTTCGGCTTTTTTGGACTTCCTTGGCTGTCGACTCCAATCATGATAGCCAAACCAAACACGCTAATGAATCTTTGACATTTGACTCGTCAGTGGAATTGCTATTTATCACGGAAACAGTCATTTACGTCACTGACAACGTCAGGCTAGCATCATCCTGTCAACATGACAATCGTCGATGCGCTCTTGACGAATTATCCTCGGTACCACTTTGTCGGTAAGGCCCAGTCATTTGCGTCGCATTGCGAATTTTCTGGGGGAGCTGTCACCGCCTAGAAATTCTTACCGATTTATCTTGCTGTCCATCTGCCTCTAGTAACTTGGCAAATCTTGGACGAGCACCCCTGAGTTGATGGACGACGTTAAGATGGATATGTGCAGTGACGCTCCCTCGATATGCTCGCGAGACTCGATTGAAGATATTTGGGGGCCGAGAACACTGTATGTTCATCAGTGGCCTACGAGGGTTGATCATGCTTGTGATGAGGAGCCGGAGAAATGGGTGCAGAGTGCATGTGTGCTGTGCAGGTAAGCAACTGGCTACAGTCATATTTGAGAATTCTTCTAACAGTAGATATCTAGTAATGGCTGTGGGCTTGACATGGGTGTAAAAGATGGCAAGGTCGTCGGTGTGAGAGGCCGTGCCACTGACCGTGTCAACAAAGGGAGACTGGGCCCCAAAGGTCTCAATGGGTGAGCCAAGACTAGAGACTTACTCAAACCTCAGTTGCTAATATTTGTTATTCAGGTGGAAGGCAATCAACAGCAAAGAACGGCTCACTCATCCCCTGATCCGCCGAAACGGCAAGCTAGAGCGCGCAACTTGGGATGAAGCCATGGATCTCATTGTCAAAAAGTCAAAACAACTTGTTGAGAAACTCACAGCCCATAGTATCGCTTTCTACACCAGTGGGCAGCTATTTCTTGACGAATACTATGTTCTTGCCTTGATTGGAAAAGCTGGACTGAACACGCTTCACATGCGAGCATCTCATTGTTCACCAGAGGAAGAAGGTAGACTAATGCAGTTTTATAGGGATGGTAACACCAGACTCTGCACTGCAACAGCGGCAGCTTCAATGAGAGAGTCATTTGGGTCCGATGGATAGCCTGGTTCTTACACTGATATCGACTACACGGATTGTCTCTTCATGGTAAGGCATAACATGGCAGCTACCCAGACTGTGCTTTGGTCAAGAGTTCTCGATCGACTGGCTGGCCCAACTCCCCCAAAGTTGATCGTCGTGGATCCGAGATACAGTGAGAGTGCTTCCAAAGCTACACTGCACTTGGCCCCAAAGATCGGTACCAATCTCGCGCTGCTGAACGGTATTCAGCATCTCATGTTCAAGAACGGCTGGATCAACGAAGCTTATGTCTCAAAGCATGTCGTCGGTCTTGAAGCTCTAAAAAGCACAGTTGAAGGCTACAGTCCGGAGAGAGTTGCAGAAATCACCGGTGTTCCAGCAAGCAAGATTGAAGAGGCTGCTAGTATCCTCGGCCAAACGCCAAGTCTTCTCTCTTCAGCTCTTCAAGGTGTCTATCAGTCCAACCAAGCAACAGCTAGCGCGTGTCAAATCAACAATATTCACCTCCTTCGCGGTCTTATTGGGAAGGCAGGAAGTGGTATCTTCCAGATGAATGGTCAACCAACTGCTCAGAATAACCGCGAGACCGGCTGTGATGGCGAGTTCCCTGGGTTCAGAAACCACCAGAACGCTAAGCATATGCAAGAACTGGCAGACTTGTGGAATATCAACAACATCCAGGTGCCGCACTGGAATGAGCCTACTCATATCCATAACATGTTGACATTCATGGAGAAGGGCTCTATTCGAATGGTTTGGGTTTCTGGGACGAATCCCCTCGTCAGCTTGCCCAACCTTCCCAAAGTCCGAGATGTATTTACTCAACCGGAGCTCTTTGTCATCTGCCAGGATATCTACATGACTGAGACAGCTTCTATCGCTGATGTTGTCCTCCCAGCTGCTCAGTGGGGCGAGAAGACAGGATGCTTCACAAACGTTGACCGAACGGTGCATTTGTCTCACAAAGCCGTTGAACCGCCTGGAGAGGCGAAGCCAGATCTTGAAATCTTTCTAGACTATAGTCGTCGCATGGAGTTCAAGAATAAAGAAGACGAGCCTCTCACTCCGTGGACGGAACCAGAGGAAGTCTTTGAGGCGTGGAAACGTCTATCTGCAGGCAGACCTTGCGATTACACAGGCATGTCTTATGCGAAGCTAACAGGCGGTTCTGGTATCCAGTGGCCCTGCAACGACCAGTATCCCGTTGGCAAAGAGCGACTCTTCGACGACGGTGTCTTCTTTACAGATATTGACTACTGCGAAAGTTATGGTCATGATCTACAGACTGGTGTGCCATATTCCGAAGAGTACTACAAAGAACTCAGGCCAGCTGGTCGTGCAATTCTCAAGACGTGCGACTATATACCCCCATATGAAGATTCGGATCATGAGTACCCTTTGAGACTTTCGACAGGACGGAATGTGTATCATTTCCATACCAGGACCAAGACAGGGAGGACTGCACTGCAGAAAGCGTGTCCCGAGCCTGTGATCCGAATATCTGAGAAGGATGCTGAGACTTATGATATCAAAACAGGAGACATGGTGGTAATCAAGTCCAGGCGGGGCAAGGTTGAGATGAAGGTGAAAGTCGGCAAGATTTCTCAAGGACAAGCTTTCATCCCGTTCCATTTTGGATACTGGGACACAAAGGATGGAAGGGCACGAGCCGCAAATGAGCTCACGATCAGTATGTTATCCAGCAGTACACCGACGTTATAGCTGACAGTTTTGTAGCCGAATGGGACCCTATATCGAAGCAGCCGACCTTCAAATCTGGTGCAATATCCATCGAAAAGGTCCCAGATGATCGCCCAACGGCAAAGGAACGGCAATCGGAAGCTTTGGCAAAAGAAGAAAAGAACGACGCAAGCAATTCGAACGTCACAGAGAGTGATCTCAACAACCGCGAGCGTGAATTGGAGACTTGGCTAGGCGAAACCTACGAATCAATTCTCCTCCTGCGCGACATCACAGAACAGCTGCTAGATCATCTAGTAGCCGACTCAGAAGCTCACTCCGGCGTTCGAATTCTCATCCAAGTCACCAAAGACACAACCAAACGCCTCAAACCACAGGTTGATAAATTCGGTGAGAATCAAGCCCGTGGTAGACACGCCGCTCATACGCTGCGCGACTCATTATTCCCCAAGAGCGATGATACACCAAGTCAACTACAAGTGTTGGAAGCGCTGCGAAGTCTGCAGGTGTACTTGGCTCATCTGCGCGTTGGGCTGGAAGCGCTGAACCCTGTTAGTCAAGCAATTTGGAATGAGGAGTTCTTTCAGGCAGTATCGTATGCTATTTCGCAGGTTAAGAGGATGCAGGATTGGGTGACCACGCAGATCAAGGTTAGGGCTCCTCAGGCGCTTTTAGTGCCCTGCAAGGTCGATTAGTTAGGTTAGATAAATTCATTGTCTCAGTGTGAGCATTTTATGAGGTCAAGCTAGTCTATGACAGCGGCGTATGGTGACGCCATGATCTCACTTCCAAGTTTTCGGGCAGATAAGCGATGGGCCCAGTCTGTTGGTAAATATGGGTCGTGGACCCGAAGCCAAGGCGCTGGGTCATTCTTCTTTCTGCCATAACAAGAGTCTTGGTATTCTTCACATCCTAGCCATTTATAATTACAATCTCTGTATTAAATCTCTTCGAATATGGCTCCAGTCTCAACACCTCAGCCAACTGCTCAGCCTGCGGGCATTAACCAACAAGAATATGCTCCCGACTCCATGGAAATGGTTCAGCCAAGAGCGCATCAACCTATGGGTACGTATTTGGCAGGTTGTAAGAGGTCAAATATCTAACATGTTGTCCATAGATCCCCGGAAGCCTCAGGACAATATTGAGCGAGCTGAACCGGAGCTCAATCTTAGAGGAGGCAAGGATTGCGACGGTCATTGTCGTGGCCGCTTCTGCTTCATCATTCCATGTCCTATACCTATCAACTGCTGTGTCATTCCCTTGTAATTAGTCTTGTTTATACTTATCGGGGCCCAGTTGGAAGGCAGAACGGGTATTAGAGAATCCATTCAGGCTATTTTCTTTACTCTGGGACAGAGGTGGGCTGTTGCGAAGTTTCTATCTATAAAGAAGTCTCGATATTAGGATATATAATGAGAAATAATTGAATTGACATCCCTGTGTTTACATCGCAAAGGTAAATTATGACATAGCATCCGGGGGCGGTCAACGAGATACGCGAGTTGTAACATGATATGACAGGGATGAAACAGTTTCCGATTCGCTGGCGTGACTCCGTCCTAAGCGCCGAGCATGTCGCGGCCCAACGATTCGAAACAGACAAGGAAGGTCATTCGACTTCATGATACTACCTAAATTCTTTACCATCTCCCTTGATGGGACCCTTGCTGAAGTACCGACCGTTGATCGGTGATGAGATCCGCCTTCTCAAGATCGAGACAGCCGACGACGTTGAAGCTGCAGCCAACAATGCGAAGCACCCTTCCGTAGCATGCTCACTCGAGCATGTTTGCCTGCCACCTGCGTCAAAAGGAGCCTTCAATCAACAGTTCAAAGGAAACGGTGGAACGTGGCCAGAGCTTTCTAAGGGCCACGACACTGATGCCCTCTTCAAGAATGGCCGCGATCCACACCGCGACGAAGGAGACTCGACAGAGCAACCCATTTCGGATGAAACAAGTTTAGCGTGGCGACACGAATGGGGTGATTTCATCGCCTTATCCTATGTCTGGGGCCATCCAAAACTATCAGAAGGAGAAACACCTTACTCCATCACAGTCAACGGTTGTCATTTTGAAGTAACTCCAAACTTATATCACGCCCTAGTGCAGCTCAGCCAAAGCTATAGAATACGGCAGGGCTTCAAACTCTGGGTAGACGCCATCTGTATCAACCAAAATGACAACGACGAGCGTGGTCAGCAGGTTGCGAGAATGCGCGATATATACCAGTCTGCTTGGCAGGTCGCTATATGGCTAGGGCCAGCAGATCAAGACAGTCAACTGGCTCTATCCGCCCTCTATTGGCTAGCACGCGAGTCGAAGCGACCTAGTCCAATGGAGGATTTCTATATCGAAAGCTTCTCCATTGACTTGCGTCCAATTATCATCATGTGGCCGACTTATGAAAGTCCCATGGAACAAGAAGTCTACAAAGCATTATTCTATTTCTTCACCAGGCCATACTGGCGCAGAATGTGGGTAGTTCAAGAAGTAGCTATGGGAAACCCCAACACTCCTGTTATCTGCGGCGATAAATGTATTTCTTGGTATGATGTTCATCGGGCTGTCAATCTTATCGCTGGGGATGATTCAAGATTCGGTCACGCCATTCTTGAGAGCGTTCGGCCGCTGATATTGACAACATGGTCGTTTGAGTTTGCGCGTGATAGGCTGATCAAGGAGAGAGACTGGGCACCAGAGAGGATGTGGAAGGTTCAGCAGACTATGATGCGAATCCAAGAACATCAAAAGCTTGAGGCTCCATCAAAGGCATGGCAAGAGCTCGTGCGGGCACTGAATCTCGCGCGAGATTCACTTGTGACAGAAGAGAAGGATAGGGTCTACGGCATCTTGGGCATAAAGGCCATCGCGGACAGAATTCACATCAAGCCTAACTACAACTTATCAAAATCAACAATCTTCGCCAACTTTGCGTCGGAGCTCATGGCAAAGGGCGATCTCAACATTCTCCGTCTGGTTTCAGGTCCTGGAGGCCACATACCAACAAATTGGACAGTCGACAAACTACCCGCATTCTTACGAAATCAGTCTATGGCGCCCTTCTTACTGGCGATCTTGAATAGCGTCACCAAAGGTCAGGGAACAACTCCAGTTGGTACCTTTTGCAATCACGATATTCCTTCCTGGGCTGTGTGCTGGACATGCACTCCTGCTCCGGCGGCTCAACTTGGTGGTGCATACCAAGCAGACGCAGGTTTGGGCCAATCGATACCAATGTTCTCTCAAGCGTGTGCCAGTCTCACTACCAAGGGTGTCATTTTGGACACAATTATATCATTGAGTGCATGCAATGCAAGTGAGGTTGACACTCGCTACCCACGCAACTCAGCTTCTTCTCAGAGTATCTACGGAGATCTCGAAGCAACCAGAAACGCGTTTTGGAGAACTATAGTAGCAGACACGACCTCCCAAGTCGGCGAAATGGCCCCAGAGTCTTATGCCTGGCTTCTTGATCCCAAGTTGTGGCAGAGCGGTGTTGCTGGCATTTATACTCATGGCTTTGGACTCTACATCCTTGTGAAACGGAACCGGCAGCTTCAACTTTGCGGATATACTCTGGAAGAGATCATATTCAGACCCAGAAATTGGCTTACACGACTAAAAGCGGGACTTTTTGGAGAAAGTCTGTATAATCCTACTGAGATGCAGCGAGATTCTTTGTCATGGGCGATTAATGCGATGGCGTGGAGGAGGTTGTTTGGGACGAAGAATGGCAGAATGGGATTGGGGACTTGTGCAGCCGAGATCAACGATAAAATTGTTCTCTTGAGCGGTTGCAGTACGCCACTTATCCTCCGAGAATTCAACGGAGGCTGGAAGCTCATCGGGGAGTGTTATACTCATGGCGTTATGTACGGCGAAGTAACAGCCAAGGAGGATGAACTTGTAGATATCACGATTTATTAACGACCAGTAGCATAATGAGTATCATGAACATATCTATATGAAGTCTAACGCCTGAATGTATTCTATCACCACTGAAAACTCTCCTCGAAGTACTCTACCCTCATAACTCCATTTCTTAACAAATCAGCAACTGTCTTTCGCGCATCGTCCGCCATCTGCGCCGGTCCACACGCCACAATCGCGAGACTCTCACCCAATATCTCTTCACTTCTCCTCCTCACCACATCGGAAGCATCTATCCTTCCTCTTCGCAAGGTAACCTGCGACGGCCACTCGCTTAGTTCATCCTGCGGTGTATGTGTCGTAAGATGTATCTCAACGCTGAGATTTGTGCTTCCCAAAGCATCAGCAATGTCTGTTTGTAGGACATCAAGTGCGAAGGCGGGTTCGCGAACGGCCCAGTGAATTTTCACGGAGCGAGGGGCCGTTGAGCCGGTGAGGAGTTGGAGGTATGATAGGGGAACAACGATGCCGCTGCCACCGACGATGAAGGTTACGTTGTCGAAGAGATGAAGGGGACGAGTGTGACCATACGGACCGTCGATGAGGACGCGAAGGGGGACATTTTTAGGCCAGACTGCTGACGCGGTGTCGCGAAGTCTGGAAGTGAAGCCGTCGTAGGGACGTATTAGAAATGTCATTGTGCGAGAGTCGCTGAGTATGTCTTGTGAGTCAACGGGTTCAGAGCTTTGCTCAGCAACAGTGCCGTCGAGGAGAGGAACTTGTTCGCCAAGGAGCTTCGAAGCACGTTGGCCTTCATCTGTGACCATTGCCACGGTAAAGGGGTGACTTTCCCAGCATCGAGGTCCGTTGAGAACATGGATGTAGTAGAATGTTCCTGGAGCTGGTTTGTACAGACTGCTTGACCAGGGAACGACAAGTCTGACAATGTTGGAGGATGGATGATAAATGGAAGTGGCCCATGTATCCCAGAGTTTGGGGTTGAAAGCTGCGATGCGTAGAGCTCGGATGACGCGGTCACCGATCCAGATGAAGCAGGGGACCCAGAAGAATATGTCGTATTCGCCTTGAAAGATGGAGACATGACTATTTTGTTAGTGAAGCTTGTTGCGAGTGAGAGTACTGGACTTACGCAAGCATTGTGATGAGGAGGATTATTGACATGATAATATGTACGACCAAGAATAACTCGTACTGCTGACGTCGGATCCAGTAGAAAGATGCCCCTACGAGAAGAGACATGACGATGGTTGCCTGGGCATGTCAGATAAAATTGCCAGCCAACAATGGGAGAAAACATACCACTTCGCCAACCCACCAGAACATATAGTTCCACCAGAATAGATAATACTCCCAGCCTCCCTCTAATACAGAGTTAGCATGAAAATAGTCCACAGCAAGAGGTATAACGAACCCAAGACAATCAACCAGGTATACCCGATAGAGTGAACAATTGCTTGAAGAGTTGCAATTCGCGCAACCCATCGATGAAAGTTATTGTACGTTCCAAAGTCCCAACCAGTTAGCCAAATGAGGAGATTATTCCTCATACCAAAGAGCCAAATCACTGGGAAGTTGGCCCACGAGATAATACCCGTGCGATCTGAGACATAACGAAGAAGCTGTTTCGCCGTCGATGGAAAGCTGCAGCAATGTGAGTCCCGAGCCATTATTACCCGAGGACGATTGGTACTTACTACATATTGACTGGCACGATTCTGTATCCAAGGATGCTCAACGCGATGTTGAGAAGGAGGAAAGCAAACAAGGTCCAAGACTGTATCTGGGGAGGGACAGTTCCCCAGCCGACTTTCTGCGCGCATCGATTTCCAATAAAAGCTGGGACAGTGATGCGGTTAAGTGCCCAATTGTAAAAGTTCCAGAGTCGGCCGCCGGACTTTGGAGAATAGTTGCGAAGCATTTGCAGATTGGCGATATGAAGGATTGCGTGGTTCAAGACGCCGATAGCTACTACGACGATCCAGAAGGTGATCATGGCGCGCCTATTAATATTTAGCACTCTGGCTGACATACCCGAGGATGTTCCTACCCGTAGACATCATGGTAAGTGTACGTATACGCCACAGAGTCCTGCATCACAATCAGTTTCGCTCAACCTTCACTCTCAGATTACATACCAAAGTATCCCACCAGATCCCAAACCAATTCTCAGAAGGCACGACAACCTCTCTAAACAAAACCCCCCCATCCGTCTCATTCTGCTCAAATCTTCTCACTCCCTTGACATCCTCGGCTGTATAATTTGAAATCACGTCAAACGGCGGTAAAACAATATGCGCCTGCTCCCGACACGTCTCATTGTACGGCCCCAGCCCTACCTCTCTCGCTCCAGGCGTGCAATATACATCAACACACAAATACAGTGATAATATTGCTTTGGGGCTGTAGCAGGTTTTGGTAAAACCCGTTTGGTTCCGCAGCACGTCGTCGAAATGCACGGGCTTTAGGCAGGCGAAACACGCGTCGTAGCATACCCGCTCAGGAGATCTGTCCTCGGCTGCAAGGGAAAGCGTCCATAGTGAGAGATTGATGAGCAGCGCGCCCAGAGAAGCTGCGAATTTCATGGTGCCGCCGTTGGGCTGATCAAAGATGAAGAGAGGCAGGGGTTTATGTTGAGCGGTTTATCAGATCTAAAACCATGATCAGATAAGAGCAAGAAGTCACGTGTAATAGTGGAAATTTAAAAGTTCCATGATCCGGTTTTACCCTCAGATGACTTGGTATATCCTTTGTATTTAAGGGTAACGCTAGGCTAAATAGGGTTAGTCTGTTGGTCTAAATAGAATGTGGTAGTCCCAATAGTTGAACTACTGCCTAATTGCTTATTTCGGTGATTAGGCAGACTATGCTATACCTAGGGGGAGTAGCTTTATTTACTTTAAGCTTTACTACTATACCTATTTTAAAACCTATATTCTAAAATCTTCTGGCCCTAGATATCTCCATAGAGAGTAGTAATTACTTTCCTAATATTATACCCATATTCCTTAGAACTCTAAGTTCTCTAAGGGAATTTATTAAACTAAGCTTTACCTAGTTTTTAATCTCTTTCTTAGTAACTATAGTAATTATATCTAATATACCTAAAGAATTTATATTAGCCTCTTTATTAATCGATTGCCACCAACCTTCCTCTCAAGGGCTGGCGAAGCTTCAGATGTTCCGACTCTGCTCTATCTTTATTGGATCACACGTCATCTTCATCCCTTGGTCCAGGTCCGGAAAGTCTTGGGTTGCATGATCTTTTCAAGCTGCCGGTCCACTGCGGTAAGCGCCTTGGCCAGGGTGTGGAGTATGACTTCGCGGCAGCAGTGGGTTCTCATAGCGACGGCATGCGTCTTCGGATCATTTGTAGTTCGTCAAACCGGCCTTTGCCAGTTGATGATTCTTCAAGAGGGCTCTCACAGCTGATTCTGCTTTGTCGTGCTGGTGCCGGCGGGATGGATGCGACTTGGAGGGAGGCTTGTAGCTGGCTGGAGACTGGTAGGCCGAGAGTCGACAGCAGATGTCGAAGTCTGTGAGTCAACCAAAAAGCCTTCAGGGCACCGTTGATCGGCGTCCTTCGAAGCATGCATACCGCAGGTATGTTTTCGGGATATGGGAGAAGTGCTTTTTGGTTTCACGGATGGAAGGGCGCACAACGAGAGACAGTGCCCAAATTGAACGAGCTCACTGTATAAATGTCAGGATCTCGCAGGTCACAGAGTCTGTACACCCGTACCTTGTTTCTCGTCGTATCAGAGACGCCGCCGACAAAGCCAGATTGGCCAGATTGGCCCGAGCTCTTCTTCAGTCCCAGCGTTGGCGGAATGGAGACGCAGATAAGGCGGGGAGAGGGCCTCGGTTTGGCAAATCTGAGTTGCCTCGAAGGAAGATCTTGAGGTATGGGCCGATTCCGAGCGAATGTGGAATGGTTGCGTGCCAGCGCGTCAAGAATCGTACTCGTGTTCGCTGCCACGAGAAGCCTCTGTGTTCTTACCAGCGTCGTAGCAACTGGCAGCGGGTCCAAGTGTCTGAACGTGAAACCTTTCAACACCTTGGAATGCATAAGAGAAGACATCGCTGCTGCTCTTGATTGGCGTTGTGATTGAGTGACTCGTGGGATGGAATGACTGCCCGTTCGGCGATGGTGGGAGGGGAAGGCTCCCAAACGACTGTCAAGACAGCAGAGATCATTCGAAGATCACAGTGTGCGAAGATTGTCTTTCGGTGTAACTGCTTTCTGGGAGCGGTTGCTGATGAGTGGCCTCTGCGGCTGCAACTTAAGCTTGAGTCACAGTATCAGAAGCGGGAGTGATCTTCTGTTATTACTGCTGTTTGGATGGCTTAGAGAGGTATGCGGCTGAGGTAAGAGAAAGTTTTTACTTTGCAGATTGCGGTTGTGGAGAGCGATTGAGGACTATGTATTGGCGGCTCGGTCGCAGAAGAATCTCCATCATATTGGTGTTTGGAAACCGATCTTGGGGTGTGCTCTTGGTGGATCTTATTTGTGGTAGGCATGATTACTGACGCTCTGGTTGTGCCAGATGACTCGGATGGTGGTTGTCGCCGTGACTTGCTGGCTGTGACGGGGCCACTGGCTAAGAGAGCGGATACGAGACCAGGGATAGTGTTCGGTTGTTCATCTTGGGTTTGTGAGAGGATCCAGTCATGGTCGGAATTCGTTTGAAAGCTTGGCTGGACTCGTTGCTTGGGCTCATCGTGATCTGTCCAGGGAAGACTGGGTTGCTGGGGCCTTGTCGAGGTCTGAACCGCACAGACGAAGGCAATTGGAAGAATTTGTAGACGGATGAGACTCGAGTGGGAGTGTTGAAGGAATATTCTCGGTGACGGCTCAAAAGCAAGAGGGGATACGTGCTGAGCGTCGAGGTGAGGAGTGAGAAGAGATGGCGTCATTTTTATACCGATGTAGTGTGTGTATCGGTAATGGGGCTGCTTTAGCTTCACCAGCATGCTTGAGTGATATCGATGCTGGCTACTGGACCCGGACAAAGTGCACTTGAGTGCCTGACCTACAGACCCGCGGACCGGGCTAGACCAGGACTTACAACTGCCGGGAACGGCAGATGCCTGGTCTAGTCGACGCCAATCATTATTCCTTCAAAACGGTCGTTCTTTTTACGTGATTTGTCTGCTTCAACACGGGAGGGTCGTACACGAGAGGGTCGTTATTTTAACGTGATTTGTCTGCTTCAACACAGGGAGGGAGGGAGGGAGAGAGGGGGGGGCCGGTTTTTCATAGCTGAAAGCTGGTAGACGGGCCGGCGACGGCGCGGGCGATGGCGCGGCTACGCAGGAGGTTTGTTTCCTCGAGGGCTCCGAGACGGCGACGGATTTCGGCCAACTCTCTGTCGTTGGCGGACCTCTCGGCCTGGAGGTCTTCTTTGAACTTCGCCCGGAGGCGACCCAACTTGTCATGCAGATCGACAATCTGCTTCTCTTTCCTCCCCAACTCTTCCTGCAGGCGGCCCAACTCGGTCCGCCAGACCCCTCGGGCCGCAGCCCCGAGGCGGTCCCCAAACGCCTGCTCCTCATCAGGGACAGCTGCACCAATGTAAGCATTACATCCACGAATCTGTCAGCGTCAATAAACATAGTACATACGGCTCTTCCTCCACCACATAAAGACTTTGGCCGCCTTCTCGGCCAAGGTCACCAAGTGACCAACACCGGTCAAGTATTTGACCACCAAATCTGTCATCTCCGCCAAGCCCATTGTTGCTGCTGCTGTTGTGGGTGCTCTTGCTGGTGCGCTTGTTGCTGCGGCTGCGGCTGTTGCTGTTGCTGTTGCTGCTGGTGTTGTTGCTGGTGCTGTGACAGTGAGGGCTTGATGAAGACAAGTCAAGGATGGCCACCCAGACCAAGAATACATCCATTTCTGGCCATTGCTGGAGCATGGGAAGGAGAGGTTGCTACCATGGTGATCTACCTTGGGCAGGAGGCCTTGAGAAGGAAGGAGTAAGGTCACTGCGGTCTCTGAGGTGATCGATGACCAACGACTCTGAGACCAAAGGATCATCAACACTTTATTAAAAGCCTTGGGCATTTTGTATACACTTGGTATCAGTTCTGCTAAAAGTTATAAATCATTATACTGGTTGATCTGGATGATCTGGATGATCTGATTATAAGTTTTTATTAGCTCGTCGCACTCGCTTCTACTTTGCACTGCTCGCAAGTCTCAAACACCAGTACGGCTACCGTAATACACAATTTCTGTACCTCTTATTGAATCATAGGGGATCAAGTGATCACAATGAGTCTCACCAAGTCCGACACTGCATTCAAGGTCTGCAAGGCAGGAATTGATCTCTTGTCTTCTAACGATGGATGGACCAGCCTGCCAGAACGACCCTCTATAGCCATTCTCCTCTTCGGCCGCTACAGCCTTGCATAGGTACCTAGGTATCCGTTTCTACCTCTTTTACTTAACCTTAAGATGACAGGCTAGACCTCAATGGCTAAGACCTTGACCACAACGCTGATAAAAATGTTATACGCGATGCCGACTATCCTTGGAATTGCCCTGGATGTTGCTTTGCGCTGAATTAAGCTCTCAGCCACAAGTCTCAACTGCAAATAGCACATCTGGCCCACAACTTGAACATTATACCACAATGCCTAACGAAAATAACAGCCCCATGATGTCAGTATAATCAGCCAAGAGGAAATGATATCTCAAAAACGACTGGCACTGTTCTAACAAAAGGGGTAAATCTTGTCTACAATTCATACCCTCGCGAAGGTTTGCGCCATAAGCTTATCGTTGAATACTTTTCGACGCCGCTCTATCTCACCTTTTCAGTTCAGTTCAGACATTTGAAGTTGGAACCAGCGGTCAATGGGAAAAGGGAATACACAGAAGGTAACTTTCAATTACTTAATAGTACATCAGGGCTAACAGACCTCGATATTTCAGGAAAGGTTCTTGTTATTATCTGCTACCTTCAGGATCATATAAAAGAATTAATGCCACTATGGTCCGCCCCCTGGAGTCCAATCTGCTACATCATGAAAAGTCTGATATTCCAGTGTTAAAGGCAGCCTATCTATGGAAGTCATGCAACGGAACTCAAGCTCTATGTCTTGAAGGTAATAGTGCACCGTGTGTCTCTTGAAAATTTCCACCATCAGCAACCATCGTTCTCCACAGCCTGTACCACAAACAGGATTGGAGCACCACAATATATGTTCGGTACTGCTATTGAGGATAGGGTGCTCATCAGTTTCGAAACTGAGGTTTGAGAGCCAGTTTATGGAATCTGGGCTACCATAAGACACGTTCATCCGAACGCGAAGTGTGACACAATTGTCCTCATAAACCCAGATGTATCGTGTTCCACACTCATGACAAACGTAGCTGCGGTCAGGGCATCGATGCCTATAGTACGCTTGGTACCGATCTGAAAAATAACAATATTTTTCTAGGATTATAAAAGATGCGATAGATTCCAGTTGGTCAGAGGCGTGTTGGCATAGTCCATCGCCGTTCAATTCTTGTAGTTGTTTTAATAAAAACGACTTTATTTTCCTCATGTCGAGATCTTGTGGATCTTGTCGACGATGAATCTTCATCATGGGAAAAGTTCTGGAGTATTGGCTGCGTATACCTATGGCATTAGACCAATATCTGATACGTGGATGAAATCTGTGGAGGCTTGGTGAATAGCGATACTTGTCGTAGACTGAAATAATATGATCAGGATGGTCGCACGTGATATCTTCATCCTGTTTTTCCAGTGCCTTTTTGATGGGTATTACTGGAATCTTGCTCGAGATTTTGAGGTGCTCGCAAGCAGCAAAGTGACCCAGTAGCCCGACACAGCGATTTTCCATTCGTCGATCTTGAGGGAATAAAAGCTCCGGGTGTGATTTGTCGCATCCAGTACATCTAACTGGCTTCCAGAGAGCTCTAAGTCTTTCTTCGAGCTTGCCCGAGTCGAAAAGTTTGCCGCAAGGACTGCATAGAGATCTGCGGCGGAATATCGTTTTAACCATACGAAGCTGGTCGAACCCGGTTTTCGTGATGCAGTATTGTTCTTCGTTGCTTCGCAGCATTTCCAGCCGAAACGATTTGAATTCAAAACCGCCCAACAGATGACGAAGGATGCCACAGGTTTGGTGGACCATGTAAAGAGAACTGTACGGCAAAAGTATCATGATTTGAAGTAGCAATTCTTGTGGGAGGCGCAGAAGTAATGAGATCTGCATCAGGGAGTTTTGAGGCTCCAGGGGTCCAAGAGACATCGATATCTCTCCACGCTCTTGTCCGGACGTAGCTAGTAGACAAGTTCCGGATTCCTTATCGTCAAAAAAAGGAACCTGGGACGTGTCAGCCTTTGGCCGGAAGCGATTTAACTGTCGTAGAGCCCATGGCAACGAGTAATGATGCTGTAGCCTGAAACATCTCTCCGTATCCTCGGTGTCCATTTTGGGGATTTTTAGCTAGGCACATAAGATAAGGTGAAAAAAGGCATGAGGGAGATGTTGCAACTAGCATTATTTATAGAGCCACTGGGCGGGCTTTGTGTAATAAACTTTTACATGTAAACACTGATTGTGAAAAGTCGAATGAGTCCATCTTTTAGGTTTTCTTTTAGCATTCATGCTGTGGTAATTGGTCAGGCATTTTGGTATAATATATAAATAGTGAACTGGATGTGTTACTCGCAGTTGAGACCTGTGGTGTAAATTATATATATGCGCATACAAACCTTGTACAAGCTGAGACTTGTGGCTGAGAGCTTATATCACCAGATTGAACTTAGTAAACCTTCTACAAAGCCTAGGCATACTAGAGTTTCTGTACCGAGCAGACAATTCGTTTGCAGGATGTAGCATGTAAAGCTTTCTAATAAAGTGCATTCTTAAGATTTGCTTGAGTTAAACAACCGTAAGCTGCTGAAACCCGATCTTAGACTAGATTATTTTAGCACCCTCACTCAATGTCAGAGGTTTTCTTACTCCCTGGGGGTGGTTATCCTTGACTTGCCTTTGTCAAGCCCTCACAGTCACAGCAGCGACACCATCGACAGCAGCAGCAGCGATAATGATCTTCGAGGCTGTAACAGACTTGGCGGTCGAGTACTTGACCGGCGTCGGTCACTTGGTGATATTAGCCAAGAAGGCGGCCAAGGCCTTCACTCCCTTGAGCAGATCACGGTGAGCCCAAGCAACGAGCCCAGCCAAGCTTTTAAAAGAATCCCGGTAGCTACATTAAGATGCCGTACTGGAAGTTGGAGTAGTATTAAACGATTATGCCAAAATTATAGGTTTCATCACTGGTCTATAGCAAGCAGGAGTATACCAAATTATATATGTATCACCTTATCTTATCATGACTTTTTCTCTGTATGCCTCGCCATCATGTACAAGATCCCAAATCTCACCATTCATAACACCAAGGACGAACCCATCACCAACGAGGATAAATATTCTTTCTGGCAATCTCTCCATATCACCATTTACCTCTTTGAACACAAAAGGTATGCTGGCCCCTTCAATAACAAAAACCTCATCACCCACCTGGGCCTTATCATATACAAGGCTAATTCATCCAGTGTTAAGAACGCATAGTCTTTTCCCATTACAACGCTTAAGGATCTATATAACATATCTTTTAAAACTCCCTAGACCTTTAAAAATCTCTATTAGCTGCATTCTTTCGCCATCGTTGGTATTCGGATCTCCAAAATATCCCTATAGACTATCGACGTTATCAAAGACCTCCCCATTATATCTTCTGAAGTAAGTTATAGCGTCTTTTGCAACCTCAGGGTACACCACAGTATCGAATATTAGAGTCCTAATAAACAGAGATAGAGATCTTAGGCCGCTATCCCATTTATAAGCTTCCTCCATAGGTATATCTTTAGGGATTTCAGAATCCTTAAGATATAATTCATCTGGTACAAGACTTGCCCACTATCTAATTAGGAAGTAATTATTTGCAATATCACATATATCACCTAGCTTCTTAATCCTGCCGAGGCTGACCGCTTGAATATAAAGCTGTTTAGATATCTCGCCGTTAACCGTTAAATAATTAGAAATCGTCTACGTGTCAATTAGATAGGGATATAGTATTTGCTAACCCTAAATATATTAAGACGGCCTCTTTGTAAACCCTGTAAATAGTTTATATCTCCCTCTAGTAGCTCTCTAAGTAATACTCTAGTAAGGAGAAAGAATTATCTTGTCTAGGACCTATATTAGTAATCCTAGTATAGCTAATTCTTTAATAATATATAACAGAATATTAAGGCTAATTAAACCTATTAGCAAGATGGCAAGTTTAGTATATACCTATGATATAGAGTTGCCATAGTTAACTTAAATATTTAAGCAGTATTATTAAATACTTAATTACTATAGTTCTTCTTTATTATATTACTATCTTCCCTTCTATTCTTTACTCTCTTTTTATATCTTTTTATAGTCTTAATTTAAAAAAGGAATAATAGTATATCATTTATCTCTTAGGTTAGTTATACTGCAGGATCTTATATCTACTAAGATCTTTAAAACGTACTTACTATAGGTAATATAAGAAATAAATAAATATAATAATATAATTATTATTATTAGATGGTTTATTAAGTTTACAGAGGCATCTTATAGCTATATTACTTTCCAGTAAGCCTTTTCTAAGATATATTATTACTCTTGAGGTATTCTTATAAATAAGACCTATAAGACTGATCTGGCGATTCTTTTCGGCGAGGGAATCTTAATTAATGCAAATAGAGTTAATCCAGAGGAGCCGAGATATATAGGAATTATGCAAACTACTTGTATAGTATGGCAGTTGCGCGAGATAAGTATGTGAATCTGGGAGTTATTGTTATCTTATATATTGCTTGAAACAGAGTCTTTCGTGTCACCCTAAACATAGGAAACGGTATTATAAGGCTAGGCGTCGCTGAGGTTGGTGTTCAGAAGACAAAGGGTAAGCGGCGTGCGAGAAGGTCCTGGTTGAAGAGAAATCAAACGAAAGGAATCATCTTTATTCAGATTATTCTTTAAGTAGAGGTTTTGTAATTGAGGGTTCATTTTAGCTGATACTTTCAGTGCGATTTCAGTCAAAGACATCCCCGTTCATGTTTCAGTTTGTTCCTGTCAGCATTGTTGTGGCTTGGACATCTGAGCGATCATTCATGGCAGAATCTTGTTGTATTTTGTTTGTTTGTTTGTTTGTTTGTGTATTTTTCGTCTGGGTGGCTGTAACGAAGCCAAATCTCCTACTGGAGCAAAAGACGTGCTGAGCTAGCTAGGTACAGGATACCCCGCTTCCTTCACCATCCAGCATACCAAGGCACAAAAGGCGCTGTATTTTCTCGAGCCCGTCACCCGTCAGCGGGTTCGGGGGCATACTGTCGACTTTTTCCACCGACCAGAATTCTCTCACGCATCGCTACATCTGCTGACGCAGTCCACAATCTCCAGTAACCAAGTTGTAGCTCGTAGTCGTATGTCGTGGCGGCAGGGAAAAACCTTGGGAAGGAATCAGAGGCCGGCGGTGCGGCTTGCCTTCAAAGGGGAAAAACCCATCGCAATCGGCGTCGTTGATCGGGAGGATGTCGCTACCGATGCCACGGGCACCGTCCTCCGATATCTAAGGCGTTCTGGTTCTGAGGTGCCGCCATTAGATCCGACAAAGGTGTTGTCAGAGAAGGCGAACTCTCCAAATTCCTTCTCTGAAAACTGCTGTTAGGGAGCCGATAGCGTCCCCGCAGTTTTTGTGTGGTCGCGTGGCCTGCAGAAAATCCCGCTCCTAGCACCGCACTAACAGTGCGTGCCAAGAAAGAATTTTTACAGGAGAGAGTTGAGAATCTTGTTGTACCGCTGTGTGATTTTCCAATGTAGGGTAAGTAGTAAACATAATCTCAGTTTACAAGAAAGGCATACGCTCTAAAATTATATACAAAAATCATCCAAGCCTTGACTTAAGCGGAGTACTCGGAGTAAAAGCAGCTAGTAGCGTGCTCAATCTCAGCAACACGGGCGTTAAAGCCAAGACACTCCTTGTCGCTATTTCCAGGGCGGGAGTTACCAGTAGCAACCCAAACAGTCCAAGAGCCATCAGGGCCGTTGGGGCACGCAGTGAAGCCGCTAGCATCCTTAAAGTTAAGGTTGCCAGACTTGTCGATCTTCCAGCCCTTTGTCTCGAACGCCTCGGGAAGTGGGTTCTTGGTGACGGTGGCATACTGAAGAACACCTTGGCCTATATGATGTTAATGACAATTCAATTGATAAGCGTGAGGTGATAACTTACCCATTCCGGAGCGATCGGTGTAAGCGCGCTGCTGCTTCTTTCCAGTGTTGTAGAGGAACAGTTCACCCTCGCTCAGACGGAAGACAGCTGATCCATCAGACTTGCCAGTGCAGGTGGCATTCTGCTTATCCTTGGGAAGACCGAGCAGGAAGCCGTTCTCCGAGGCGCTGAAGTGCGTGAAGTGGATGGGGCTGGCGGATCGCAGAGCGACGAGGCCGAAGGTCTTGGGGGCGGGAGAGTTGCCGGACTTGGCGGGACCGGTCTTGGTGCACTCCTCTGCAGGGGCGGCGGCAGCGAGGCCGAGGAGAGAGGCGGCGAAGAGAGTCTTGAACTGCATTTTGATTGATGTTTGTTGTTTGGGTTGGATTGGATTGGATTGCAGTGGGAAAGGTAGGTGGTGGTGAAGGACTTATATAAATGTGAATACGAGGTCCCAAGGGATCTTCAGTTGATCTTTGGACGAATGAGGAGTGCAACGGCAGTTACTGACATCATTTCAATGGAGGAGGATAACCCCGGTAGGGGAGCTTCTCCCTTTAATGTCACCGTACCGTTACATCCAATTACAAACTGTCGGGTCTTTCGGAGCGTTTCACATAGAAATTATTCCGCCTGGGGAAGCAGGCAAACTTAGGATCTCTAGTCTAAATGACAAAAAGCCTTAGGTAAATTTAGTGTATCCTTAGACCCAACTTGTTTTTGTCGCCCTAATTCAGAGCCAGAGGTTTCTGAGGCTAGCTGGAAAAAAACCTCGCCACTTCACTGCCTCCCCGATACGAGATCGAGAACACATGATGGGTTTCCATCTCGTAAAGAACGGCATATGTGCCGAGGATCGCCGGTAACGTGCCAGTAGAATATCCCTGCATTGAACAACAGAACAAACCAGATGCTGCGATGGGCTATTAATACCCACTGACGTAGGCCGAGATCTATGCAAGATCCACTAACTACGGCTAACGGAGCGGAACATGAAGGATCATTTACCTCATTGCATTGCTATGTAATTCAGCTGAGATATTTGTTCAATTTTTGACACTTTTCTAGAACGCATTTCGTGGGTGGTATAACAGCGTCGCATGAATTCATTTCATTGCTAAACTCTAATCCAAATGAGGCGCTGATCTATTTGTTGACCACGTCACACAGAGACTATCCACAGCTAAAAATAGAACCATCATGCATTGTATCTATCGTTGCATAAGAGTTCAGCTTTCGTATTTGCTCACCGTTCAGCCTCAACAAACACCGAAATTCTAACCTGACCGCTGATTCTTGGCCAATTCCTCAATAGTCTTTTCAAAATCTTCAGGTTCTCTTCCTAAAAGCTCTTTCATCGTGTTTGTTACACCGGCTGTTTCTCCAGCGCGGATGGCGTCCCATGCTGTAGCCCACGTCCTCGCTTTCTCCTCTGTTCCGAAGTATTCTTTGATTTGAGGGAGGTTGATATACTCGTCTACGCTGATTTCTTGGATCTTAAAGTCTTTTCCTGCAGCGCGCGATAGGATTTCAACCGTCTCTGCCAATTTCCAGGATTTGGGACCGGTCAAAGTGACGATCTGGTTGGTGTATTTGAATGATGAAGGTGATTTCGCGTACGAAGCGATGAGACGTGCAGTCGCTTCGCCGAGTTCATCTCTCTTGACCCAGCTAACGCCAGGTCCACTTCCATCATGGGGGATGAGAATGTTGGACGGAGGGCTCTTCAGGTCGAGGAATGATGTGTAAATAGGGAATGACTCGCTGTATAGACCCTCGCGAATACTCGTCCACGTGATTTCGTTGTTGGCGCTCGCGAGCTTTCGCAGATACGCCTCACTGTCGAGATGAGCACCCATGACCTCAGCCTTGGTAGTGCTCTCATTAATCGACGCAAACCCAAGTGATGAGTAGAAAATATGCTTTACTCCAGCTTTGACCGCTGCATCAAGTGCTTTAGTGTGTACCTTAGTTCTATATTCGTGAACATGGCTAGGATACGAGATCAAGAATAGGACATCGATCCCTACAAAGGCAGCCTCCAGCTCTTCGGCGCTAGACTCGTAAGAAGCCTGACGAACGGCAGTTCCATTCTCCACGTATTTCTTGGGCACTTTCTCGGGGTATCGGTTGATGAGCGTGACTTTGTTGTTCGGGACTTGAGAGAGAAGATGAGTGTATGTGCTGGTGCCGAGGGCTCCAGAAGCGGGGAAGATTCCGATTTGCGTCATGCTGAACCTCGTGTTTTATCCTGATGACGATGGAGTGAATTGATAGTGTTGGAATGATTGCAATGTTGTATTGAAGTGAGGAGTTATATGTCATATTTTATTTACGTATCATGGAAATCCGTGGAGTTGAATCTGACTAATCGACATGCTCAACATGACGTGATGCCATCCACTCCGAGAACTCCATGGAGTTTCCTATCGAATGCTACCCTATTACCCAAACAGTTCTAGGCCTTCTCATCGGTTCTCTTGAGCTTGATGTAGTTATACCATATCTCCAACTTGAAGTCTGCAAACTTTGTTATAAATTCCTCAACGGCGATGTTGATGAACTCTTCAAGAAATGCGTCGCCTCCATCCCAATCTTGACCTCGTGACCTCTTCAGGACGTCGACCCAGAACCACCCTGAAGCTGAGACCACGTTATTAATGGCAACTCGAGCATATTCTTTCAGAGCTTCATCTTTCTTGCTCTCGTCGGTCTTGATCTTGTCCTGGTAAACCTGCCAGGCTGGCTGGACAATTAGCTTCGGCTCCAGAGATTCCACTTCCCATAGCGGTGCGACAGTTTCATCGTTCAAAGCGGCTTGAACTTCCTTGGGAGTGCGCTCGTGACTTGGGAAGAGAGCCATCTGCATCAGCTCAGGCAGCGAGAGCTTGCCCTCTCCAACCATGCGCATTAATCCAGCTTGGAGGACTTGAGAACCTGGCTTCGAAGGCGTACTCTCCCCTTCAGGCGCTTGCCCTCCAATCGCAGCAATTAGATACCCACCACTTCGAGCCTCCTTTGCCCTGAGCTTCAGTAGCTTGATGAAGTCTGTATGCGCCGCTGCGGCGAGTGCTTTGTGACGAGCAACTGCGAAATCAGCTGGCGATGCTGTTGCGTCGAGACTAACAGAAGGAATGTTTTCAAGGTAGCTGAAAGACGACCAGGAGAAGCCAATGTCAGCTTGTGCTGTTGGGACGACCTGCTGATAGAATCCCAGTGGAACAAGACTTGGCACAATCTGGATCTTGCTGTCTTGGTTGGTAAAGTTTTCCGAGACAGTCTTTGCCAAGGTTCCGAAGTCGTTGAATGGGGTGTCTTCGAAGATAAGAGAAGCAATGGCGCCATCTGGCAAGGTTGAAATGGCCTTCTTTACAGGTTCGATGCTTGAGAGCGTCAGCAAGGAAGTGTAAAGTTGGGGCTTCAGGCTTACGAGTTGGCGCCCTGAGCGGTTCCATAATCAACGACAACCAGATTGTCTCCTACTGAAAGTTAGCATCGGATTGGCCAGCATGAAAAGACCATGAGGATCTTGCTTACTGTCTGAAAAGCTGGGGATCAAGTCAAGGCCAGCTTTCATTGCTGCATTCTGAATTTCGGAGCGTTCATTGTAGTGCTTATCACGCATAGCAATGCGAACAGGGTTCTGGATTGAAGCCATACTTAAATCGCGAAGTCGACACTGATATCATCCAATGCGAGCCTTTCAAAATAAAAGACGAGGCATTATCTCTCTTTATACTTGTTCCAAAACCTTCGGACTCGGACTTGGTTGATGCGAAAAGTCACACGAATAAGCACTACGCATGCAACCCCGCTGCTTACCCTCCTTGTCACACGAATCATCCAATATCATTCCCAAGATCTCAACTGGAAAGGCACAGGATTTTGAATCCTTCGGAAGGATCAGCACTGATTGGCTGTCTCGCAATTCGGGGAGCAATCGAGTCGAATTTCCCGTGCCTGAGGTGAATGCAGGTTGCGTGGCCCAATGGCAAGGCGTCCGAGAGTGGATCGGAAGATTCTGGGTTCGATTCCCGGCGTAGCCGTGAGGGAAGACATAGAGAAAGACATCTTTGAAGGACTTGACTAGTGTTAAAGAAATTCTTTTTTCATGGTGTAGTTTCATTGTAATTTATAGGGAGAGAAGTAGTTAGTCTTGACGGGCAAGGCGATGCCAAGGTCAAGCTGGCCGCAGACTCAGCGGGTGTTGTTGTTTAGGGTTCTCATGGCCAGCCACAAATTACAAAGCAGCCTCATGGTCATTGAGTCTCCAAGTTCTCCGTGGTGAATATAAGCTCTCAGCCACAGGCCTCAACTGCCAGTAACACATCTAGCTCACAACTTGGACATTGTACCATCATTGAGTCTCATAAAGGAGAATTTTATCATTTGACTCTAGAGCTAGAAAGACTTCCCGCTGTCATAGACATATCTCGGCTTTAGCCTCGACCCGTCACCGTGGCTCCCTTTCCTAATAATTCATGACACTCCAGATTCCATTCCTTCATGTTTCCCACTCATTGCATCTACACGTCAGACACGAACACTGTTGAAAATACCAGTAAGCAGAGCACAGAATAATAAAATAACGACTATTGTAACCTCGACCTCAACAAGACTCACGCTTTAATTGGCAGTAATATTCTTGGTCGCAGTACTATGAACCCACGCTACCAGGACGAGCACAGTCGGAACCTCGGCCCTCGCAGCATTTATCAAATTTGTCAAGTTTTTTGTGGATTTTGCCTGCCAGTTCCGCGCTAGTTTCTTTGAGGTGATGGTAGCATGTGCTGTCGGAAAATAGGAAGTCGCCTTTAGACTTCTTGCAGCATTTGCGAGTTATGCCATTGTTGGGTTTCCCGTCGGTGCCGAGGCATTTGCATGCTTCTCCTGAAGAGAGGAGAACAGTGAAGGTCAAGATGGCGAGCTTGGAGAGCTGCATTTTTGGTTTGAAGTAAGGAGGATTGGGTTTGGGGATAAGGTGTGTGGATGGATGTGTGCTGCTTTGGTTGATGAACTCTGGCTGAAGTGTAAATGGGGCCCTTTAATACTTGGAATCCTAAGGGCACATGAGCTTTCGAACTTGCAGTCGGTCCGGTGATCCAAGACTTATTCACACTTGAGAGCTTTGTGATGAATCATGATCTGAGAGTTATCGCATCCTCATTCATTATCTGTGTCGACAGCCTAAAGTTTAACCTTATGGCCATCAATCAATCAAGTAGATGATTCGAGAGTATAAGCTCATCTGTTAACCTTCCTGGCTTGAGTCGAGTGAAGAGAGATGGAGACAGATTATAGCCAAGGGCTTAAATGCACGTAACGCATGCAAGTGCCTTCAGACCATTTCTCTATAGCCGATCCTTGTTTAGGAATTCTTGTAGTATTGTTGAGGCCAATATGTGCATGACCTCAAAAAGGACAGGTCCCACAATCGGTGATTCAATTCTGTGCTGGCGTTGTCCAACTGTGACAAGGTGTCAAGGTTGAGGGGTAAAAAGAGGCTTCAGCCCCAACAAAAGGGTAAAGAACACAAACTAACACATATGGGCAATATACTCTTTGTCCTCACGCCTCAATTTCGCAGCTCAAATAAACATGATCATCAACAGAAGAATTGAGGAATCAAGAGCATAGTCAGATCCCACTTTCAGGAACATAAAACTTGGATAGAAGCGGTGATACAAATGGTGGTACATGTTGAACATTTGGTCATAAATACTAACGGTTAGCCTGACAATCCTGATTCCCAAGTCACTTGGTTATCCATAGTACCAGAGACCCGAGGGTTTTCGCGCTTCTTGAGTTGGAGTTCCACGTACAATCAAAGTTAAAGGCGTTGTGCAATTTATCGTTCAGCGTGTAGTCAAATGTCTCTTTTCTTCTTTCTTTTTCGTTCATGCGGCTTCATTGTAAGTCACGGGATACAAGAACGCTATGCGGAGAGGAGAAATATACTTGATTTGACAGAATTTGCCCAAATTACTTCACGAATCAGATTCGCCCCATATTCATTATTCCCGAGGAACGTTTGCTTTACGTTGAGGATCTTGAAGCCTTGCCATCTCCAACAACAGCCGGTAAACATAGAGACCCATGTCGACTTCACGGAAGGCTCTGGTATGCCATTGTCGACCTCGCTTTGCTATTTGCCTCGCGACCTCTTTTCCAGATGCTGTCGAGGTGAGATAAAAGACTAGCTCCGGGAGCTCTTCCATGCTTTGACTAATAGGTATATAGTGCAGCCAAGGAATAAGTCGATCGTCGTGCCATTCTTGAAATAGCGTCTGCTTTATTGGCACAGACATGGAAGCAAGTAGCTTATAATAACGGCCACTGATACCGTTACCGTCGATATCGAAGGCTAGCTTTGACTTGAGGGCTTCATCTTTATCTACCCAGGATTTAGTGTTGAAATAGGCATCTTGGTCCCTACAGGCCTTTCTCTGGCATTGGAAAATGCGGGTGAAGACGACATCAAACAGTCTGCCATCTAGAAAAGAAGATTTAACTTTTTGCACGACACCACCTTTCGTTCTCAGGTAGTGATAACCTTTGTTCGTTCTCAAATTCTGTGTGAGTTCGACAAATCGTTGTCGATGGAAGAGCTGCCAGTGGGTATCAAGCGCGAAACCTCCAGTAGTTGAGCCTGCCCAGTAGAGGCTGTCTCTTTTTCGGCCCCAATCAACATCTCTTGACTCGTCGTACAGAAATTCGAGCTCGGTGTACGCTGGGCTCGGAATAAGAATGTCGCCCATGGAGGATAGTTTGCCGGTTGAGAATATAGGAACTAGGCCATGTATTGGGCGAAATGACACAGGCCTCATCATGAAACCATGTGAGGCGCTGTATTCTGGGTGTTGACAGAGGTCTTGGGCTGAGGAGATGTTGGTCACAAATGGCAGGCCAAAGGCATTGGTGTTATCTTGGCCTTCTGTTTCTCTCTTTTCAAGGCCACAGTTCTTGGTCAACAAGTCCCATATAGGTTGTCGGCCACGATCTTCAACAGTTATCCTTCGATCGTGGGGTGAAGATGCTTCGGAGGAAGGCTGATAGAGAACACGAGGTTCATCGATGTGGTTAACCAGAAACGTCACATCAGGAAGTTTAGTGAAATTGACCAAGATGTTGTTGAACATTCGAGAGATATGTCTGTCAAAGGTACGATAGGAGTGACTGCATTTAGTTGTCGACGATGTGCTTGAGAACGTGCAAAGCCACAAATCGCTTCCAGGAAGGCTTTTCGCTTGATGCATAGCATCAAGAACCTGACTGCCGCTTAGCCTCCAGAACGGCGATATTGTCTGATACAAGGAGTCGAATTCATCGATCAACGGTGAATCATTGGAGCGCGCAGCGTCGTACCATTCCCCAAAGCCTGGTGGTGGCTCCATACCGTATTTGGTCTGATAGTTATGCGACGCGGCTTCGAAGGTTGTGGATTGCCTGCTGGATTGGTTCTCGAACTCTTGCTGTGCTTTATTGTAAAAGGCCACAACTGGATGTGGTGTCTCCGCGGTGAAGGTAGGAGCATCGTTTCGTGCGTGATAAATGGCCACAACATTGGCTAGATATGGGATCACCGGAAGCATAATGCAAGCATACAAGAATCGGGTTGAGCGTATCTGTCTAGGCATGAAACCAGTAATTTGGCCGAGGCAAAGCAAGGCGCAGGCAACATTTAGCAAGGCTTGACTCTCAAATGTGATATCGACCGGATCGCGCGTTGATAGCAGACCAAATGTGGCCATCATAGTCGGAAGAGTCCATGACGTGTGATGAGCCTTGACTTGGAAGTTAGAAGACCTGAGATAAAATGGGGGAAATGGATAACGTACAGCTCGGGAAGCAAATCGCCAGGAAAGTGCTTTTACCAGCCCCAGGAACAACGCGTATAAGGGACTAGATCGTGGAAGGCCAAAGACGGATACTCTGGCAAGACTACCAACTAAAAGGAGTCCAGCCACTCTTGGTGCAAGAGAGTAAACATGCTCTTCGAAGGGAGTCAGGTGAGGTAAGAAACGACCACTCTTTAGTCTTGAATAAAACGAAACGTAGGCGATGAAAGAGGCACCAGTCGCAACACCAGAAGGTACAAGTCCAGAGTAATTCCGGTCAATCAGAACCAATGTCAAAAGAGCTGCAACGAGTGCTGCTATCCAGAGCTTACTGGACAGGGGGGCGAGCTTTGACGTGCCCGTCGTATCGCGCCCCTGAGTGTTAGGTTTCGGGCCTCCCTCTGCCAAAAGAAGTAAGGGGGTCAAGACAGGCTACAAATTTCTGTTACCATCAGCTTCTTTCAGATAATGCCATTAGACATACTAAGAGCTTGAAACTATCCGCTTCAGCTCGACATCCGGATACGATGGAAAGACAACCCGCAACAGCCCACAGTGACAACGGTGAGGGAAGAGTATGCCGAGTCTCACGCCTGATGAGTAGATCTGCACGGGCTTGTTCTATAAAGGTATTGGTTCCAAATATCATCGGTAAACATGCCCAACAGATAATCTCCGACAAAAGTTCGTCCTCTCGGCGGAAGAGGTAGCTTGTTGCTACTGTGAGCAGCAAAGCCAACGCAATTGAAGCTTGTGGGGTACCGTGGAGGTCTCGTGAGCTGATCATCGTTGACGAGGGATTCTGGATGGAATCTGACCAATTGTGCTCGTACATACACAGATGAGCCAACTGGCATTGGAAATTTGTATCGTAGAGTTCACGAAATAGCTGAAAGAACCAACCTTGGCTTTAGAACAGACTGAACAGTAAAGAGGTGTCATATTGGATGTGCATTCCGCTCACGGCATTTCGTTGCCGTGAGCATCCAATTACGGTGGTAGAAAACTCGTATTACAGACGCTGTTGGTTCTGTCGTCTGAAACTTCTAGTCCTCAAAAGTACTGAATTGTGTTGGTTGAGTGCTTCACTCGGTTCTTATTAGCCTCCACTTTAAAGTCGTAGCAAGTTAGAAACGCCAATAGAAGACTAGGGATCTCTCTAATGTGGACTGGATTAGAATTAAACCTGTGTTGGTTGTGCCATGCATTAAGACATGGTCTGATCAAAGCTTGAATACCTTCCTCTACGGTACGGGCCGTCTTGGAAAATCCAATCAGATCCGCTTGTTGTACAGGGGCTTTCACTGAAGCCATCAGCCCGCGCTGGTCCGATTGGAGTATTACCTCAAGATCCCAGTCAAGCTTTTTTTTGCTTCTCCACTGCATCCTTGCACATCACATTTGTCCATTGCCGAAATAGCCGGACTGGAACTTGCATTATGGGACATCAGGGCTTCCATTGGACCAAATCTACAAGGCTTTGGAGGTTTAGTTTGCGAAGCCTGGCCTTAAGGCTAAAGGTTAACCTTGCGGTCAGCAATCAGTCCAGTGGTTGCCCTTTGAGAACTACGGAACGTCGCAACGTCAAGAGGCCCTCTTCCTGCAAGCAAACCGTTTCTTTCTGCGACTGTTTTTGAAAGAACAGGGCGCGGCATTACTGAAGGGGGAGGAACCATGAGTCTGATGGATGTTAGACCTCATTAAAGAGCTCACGGACTTTCGCAGAACATAAAACATAACAGGATATAAATCCGGATTCCTCGGTTCACTAGTCCCGACGACCCATTAGACCCTTGTAGTAAATCTCCACGATCATGGTCACAACCAACAGACAATACAGTCACTGAACCAACAATGTTGTGTCGGTCTGTCGATACCAACAAAGCCAACTTGCTGTACCCAGGCCAGCAGACAAGACTATGACCAAGGCGGCAAACAAGAAGCGGTGCAGACGAGTGTATAAAAGCCCCCTTTGAGCCTTCGTTTCAGCGCTCTCAAGATCAACCAACAATCGTCTTCTCGCCTCAGGACCTTTTGATCAAATCTTTTATTCTCCTCCTCTTCTCCTCAACCAACATGCAACTCTCCAAGTTCGTTGTTCTTAGCGTCACCGCCTTGCTCTCCGCCACTGGAGAAGCATGCAAGTGCTACGGAACTAAGGGCAACCTCAACAACGGCGCAACTCACAAGTGCTGTAACGATTACCATGGTGTTTACTCCGGTAATGACTGCAAAGCTAGCTCCATATCTGAGCATCTCAGTGGGTTCGACAGGTGCTGCAAGGGTCAAGGCTCGGACTGTGACTTCCCTGGTCGTGCCGCTGCCCTGGGTCAGGAAATGAGAGTTGTTAAGCACGTCGAGATCAAGACTGCCCTTGCCAAGTAAACTACCGGCGACGAGTTGAGGTTGGTCAAGTCTTCCTTAGCATGCGGGTTTTGTGTGATGTTAACTTGTATAAGATAGCAACCAAGACATGGGGAAACAGGGAATACGGAGTGGCAAAGAGAGATTGGTCAATCTTGGCCGTGTTTCCTTTGGATCAGGCACTACTTTTACCTCCCGGCCGGAGCATAGAGCTTTTTCAACGCCTCGACCTAATTCATATAGTAGATACTTCCTGACCTCTAGTGAAGGAAGCCCTTTGTGAGACATGGTATAGTTGAATATACTGTTACCAATCAGAAACTATTACGTGAAAGGAAAACCAGGACATTGTAATAACTGAGCAGTATTAAGTAGACTCCTGCCTGACGGAGACGAGCTGTTTCTCAAATCTCCGGTATCGCTGTAAGAAAGAGAATTTAGGAGCATGTACTTGTAATCATCTCTACTAACAACCTCTCCCCATCACCTGGAAGCCGCTGACCAACACTGTTAAATGCGTTACAATCCCTGTACTAAGAACTCTATCCACGTGGCGTACTTTACGCCATTTGGATGCTGGATGATGCAGATATTTCAGGCTTCCTGAGTTGCACGCCAGAGCATAGTTGTCCTTCTAAGATCAGCAAAACACCCGCCGCCCCCTGAACTCACAAGTTAAAACCCGGCGCCTTATCTCCCATCCATCCTGAGAGATGCCAACCGATGGGTAGCCAAGCCAGAGGACGAATCCAATCATAGTACCACTGCACTGCCTTCTCGGCTTCTTCTCGCGTGATCTCGCCCTTCTCAAGATGGTTCTTGGTGAAGAATATCTGGGCCTCACGCATGAGACGGGCAAAATCACAAATAATTCCCAAGAACCAAGCACGGTGGGTGACCCTATACATGTTTGCGACACGTCCACCTGTGCCGTAGAAGAGCCATCCAGGACCACATTTCATCAAGACACCCTTCTCTGTAAGAAATGCGATATTCTCAAGGAGCTGGAACGCCGCAAAGAGGGAGCATTAGATAAACGAGATAATATAGAGTACGGGGTCCGTACTCTTACCGTCTCTAATCAACTTCCTGGCACGTACATAGATAGGGAGCAGGCCGAAGAGTCTAAGGGTCAGCCTGGCATTCGCAACGACAGAGCCCAACATGGCAAAGGGAGAGGATTCTGCTTCAGCAGCTCCAGGAAGGGCGGTAAAAGCAGTCTCTGGTCTGACTAATGAAGGGGCTTTGGGGTCGAAGTAAGCCAGGAGGTAGAGGCCATAGTTGAAGGTAGTAAGGACAGAGCCAAGATCTTTGATAGGCTTCATGAGTCTAGGAGAGTCAGAGCTTTGTCGACTGGGCTTTCTGGTCTGACTTACTCGTTCAACCTGAAGAATAGACTGTCTGGCGCACTCAGCGCAACCTTTGAATGGACAGGCATTGAGATAAATTTGGGAGTACACTTAAACTTTCAGTAGGAGTTATCTGCTGTTCGTATTCTGGGGTAGTTGGATCTTGAATGTGAGAATACTCAAGTTCGTCAACTGCTTCTTGGTAAGACACAACGATGTGATGGGACTTTGTACTTACGGCTGTCACAGCCCCAACATGCTCATGATCATATATACCATGATTCAACTAGCGTCAGCCGAGTCTCCTGGGTTATTTGGATGCACTGAGGGGGTTAGTTTCGCGGCGGATACGCTTTGCCGTAGTTGGCGAAAGCTGGAGAACAATACAGACGCGAAGGCACGGATTAGAACAAAAGCAGAAGTTCATTGCATGTCCCTAAGGTCCCTTGAAGTCCGGAAGAGGAGGTTTCTGATTCTGTCAAGCTAGTTCTGCGTAGACGAAGCTTTCGTTGCATTCTCCCTATCCTTCCCTTCACCAACGACGAATGTGACAACACTCCTCGACAACTCTATCATCCGTATTACTTTTTATGAAGATATTCAAAGCTCTAAGCTGAAGCTCTAAAGCTTCGGGCGAGGTATGCAAGTTATGGGAATCGAGTTTGAGGACCCTAAGCTTACGAATGCCAGCCAGCCTCGAGCTCCAAGCTCTTAGCCTAGCAGCTGGAATGGGGTTCACACCACTTCACGGGAAGGATGCCGAGAGACTCTGGATGTAATATAGACGACTTCAATGGTCATAAACTCATTGCTTCTTGGAAGACCTTACAAAGACATTACAAGTTCAATTAAACGCTGGAGGACATTCCTGGCGGCCACGAGCTGAAAGTACATATCAATACCATCAGCCGCAGCATTCATTGACGTTTTCAGTTGGTTCCATTACGTGGTCCTAATTCTACTAGCTTTTATGGGCCTGGAGCTTGGGCCTTTGTCAAGCTCTCGCGGGACGTTTGGCATATGGCAGCTATCTAGCTTCTTGCTGATCGCCCAGAAAAGGCCCCTGCAAAGCTGCTGCACTCATGAGACTTGGAGTCATACAAAACTCTTACCAGGATCAACATACATCTCCCACTCCTTTTTTCCTCAGATCTTTCCAAACGTATCAGGCTTCGTGAAACACCAAACATACTCGATTCACTGCACTTCAACTCAAACATCCAGTCACCATGCCTATCCCCTACGACTCAAGTCTCACTCTCATGAGCGTCGTGAACCAAGACGCCCTCAAAAGCGTCGAAGCAATCGCCGAACTCCAAGCCCACGTCGACGCCGCCCAAGACGCTCTCAACTCCCTCATCTCCTCAAAGCGCAGTCTCACCATGACAAAAACCGAACTCAAACACCTCGGCGCCGGCACCGACGCTCTCGACGAAGAGCTCAAGAAGCTCAACGTCGCAGTCGAAGCTGCAGCCGGTGCTTACGCCACTGCTAAAATGGCAGCTGAGCCTCAAATTACCGGTATAAGAACATCCACTCTGTTCATAAGCAGATTGAGAATCCGGTTGATTATATGCGCAGTGAGATTAGAATCATGGCGCTGGCGAATAATACAATGAATATGGACGTTCAGTATTTTTCGTTTGATTCGAATTCGTAGAATTCTGCGACTTACAGCGCTCAGATTGCGTCGTATGTTTCTGGGGCTGTTAGTAGTGTTTTTGGGGCGAAGCAGTTAATAAAGATTGGAAATACGGCTTCTCGACAGGTCAGTCGCCAGGTCATCTCGTATAGTATTGAGGGCACTCTCGTTCTGTCTGTGAGTTACACCTATAAAAACGCTTCGATTATAGCTCCGTTTGTGCTATATGTCGATAAGGCTATCAAAGTCTAGAACTATCTCTTTCCTAGGAGCAAACTAGATCCGACCAGCGGGTCCAGCATGATGCAGTATGCCATGAATAAGAGTCAGGAAGACAAGGAAAAGTTCTCTATCATTTTAGGCGTCACTTATAGATCAAGCTTCGTCGGTATGGTTCACGTGCTGAATACGATGTCTTCATCTACTTTAGACTCTATAGAGGCTGCTGCCTTATAAATGCAGCAGACTATAAATGTCGGCGCTTGGTTTGCCAAAGCAGAAGGCAAAGTCGGCGTTGACTCTAAGTTTGCCAGTAACATGAAGAATCTCCTGAGTCAGCAGAACATCCAGTCTTATGTTATAGTCCTTACTATGGGTGTTATCTTATTAATGGTAGCCAACGAAGTCGCAACAGCCGTTAGCCAATTTGACCATTTCGACCCCTAATCTAATATGGCGGCTGTTGCTATTATGCAGAACGCAGTCTCGTCTAACTAAGCTTCCGTCTAGTCTATGGCCGAGGCTTCGCGAACCACTGGCCAAGCATCTGAGATGCGGGGCAAGGATATTGAGTCTTCCTTGAGTGCTCTGACGACGATTGACGGCGAAGAAAATAAGATCCTTGATGTTAACTCTATGATGACAGCTCTGGATGATTACTTGAAGAAGGCTGCGGATGGGAAGGCGGATATCTTCAGTACAAGCCAAAACATCGAAAACCTGATCTTTGGGACATCTGAGACCAATTCTCTCATGACTAGGTCGGCAATAGGAGACTCCTGCTAGGGCACGTTCGCTGACAAGGAGTTTAGATAAGAAACCGCCTGGCAGAAGTTTTTCCTGGCTGAGAGAGATCTCAACGGCACCGATGAAGATATCACTGGTACACTCAATATTCTCTGCAATGATTTCCCCAAACCTATTCTGTGGGACACAGAAAACACTTCCAACAGCTTCGGAACCTTTGTGATCGAGTTCACTGACAAAGACCTGGAATTCATGAAAGAAGAGGGTTTCTACTCAAAACCATACATCAATTCCAGAAAAGATACGCTGATACTCGAAGAAGACAAGAAACAAATGCTTGTACTTGCTCGTGACTTTCCTTTCATTGTGTACTCGATTCAGTATGAGCTGCCGGCTGATTTTCAATCGCGTATTTTTCCTGTTGAGAAGAATGAAAAGATGAAGTGCTTTGTTCCTTTCTTTCCTTTCCGTCGGCCTTTCTACCATCGAGCTGAAGCGATCCTGGATGATTTGGTTTTCAAGGAGTTGATGGTAAAGCAGAGAAAGAATCAGAGGTAGTTAGCTTGAGGCAACCACTAGATATCTGGTATCTCAGGAATGAAATTTTAGGCAATGAGTAATTGAATGGTTATGTAAAAAGGTCTCCTGATCCACTGTACAGAGTTTACTATCTTTTTGTCTTATCAAGTTGCGAGTGTTACGGTGGGAAAAACATCACGATACCGAACTCCGGTGTCGGACCGAGATGCTTGTACGCCCTTTTCAATGTCATGGCATTAGCTCGCAGCCATCTTGACAAGATAACATAGTAGATAACTATATACCGGCCGACGATCCGACCGAGATCCGGTCGTAAGAAATATTATAAGAGAAGCAGATATCTCCGCACGTAACGAAGATTCCTAGTAGCACTAACAGAACATCAATATGGCGTCCAACAACTTCATCCTCACAGCAGAAGCTCACTCCGAAGCCTTACCCAAATTCCATTTCTCAACTCAAGCCGTCCACGCAGATGACTTTGTCAGTCCTCACCGGGCCATCGCCCCGGCTCTTCACTCCGCTGTGAACTATCGCTATGCCCGCAACCCTGATGATCTCGTTGAGATGGAAAACGACGATGTACTTCCACAGCCCACATCAATCTCAAACACTGCTAACATTCATAGCCAAATGCTCCATTCGATTCACACGTTTACTCTCGCTACACAGCCCCCAACTACAACAGACTAGAAATCGTCCTCAAGACCCTCTTTAAGAACCCGGTTGTATCTTACTCCTCTGGCGTCGCAGCTTTTCACGCAATGTTAATTGCTATTAACCCCAAGAAAATCTTTATTTCTGATGGTTATCACGGCGTTCATGCTGTAATAGAAATCATGACCAAACTCAACGGTCTAAAGAAGCTTTCGCTCGATGATCTTGATCAAGCGGGGCCAGGAGATATGATTCATATTGAAACACCACTCAACCCAACAGGTGAAGCTCGGAATCTTGTGTTCTTTAGTAAGAAGGCTAAAGAGACTGGGGCGTTGCTTACTGTTGATGCTACGCTTGCGCCGCCGCCGCTACAGGATCCAGTTCAGTTCGGTGCGGATTTGGTTATGCACAGTGGGACGAAGTATATCGGTGGACACTCTGATATGCTCTGTGGTATTGTCATTGTTTCTCCGGAGCGGGTTAAATCCGGCTTGGAGAAGACGTTGAGAGATGAAAGAATGGTATTGGGAAATGTGATGGGGAGTTTGGAAGGTTGGTTGGGTATCCGATCACTGCGAACTCTTCACCTACGAGTGATGCGTCAGTCCCAAACTGCCGAAGCTTTGGTATCATGGCTCAACGCCGGTCTTTCAGACTCATCCTCTGTTATCGGCCGTATAGTCCACAAGATCGCACACTCATCCATCCAACAAGACGCCGAGTGGCTGAAGGGACAAATGCCAGGCGGTCACAGCCCCGTTTTCAGTCTATGGCTGAAGAAGCCAGAGCATGCGAAGCGTTTACCGAGCAAGCTATTTATTTTTCAGCATGCTACGAGCTTAGGTGGTGTTGAGAGTTTGTGCGAGTGGCGTGCTATGTCGAGCCGTGGGGAGGATCAGAGGATGTTGAGAATTAGCACTGGTGTGGAGGACTTGGAGGATCTGAAAGGGGATTTGATGCAGGCTTTTGAGGTTTTGTTGGCAGAGTTTCTATGAGATATGATATGTGTTGTTGCCAAATACTTGAAGTTTATTGTAAATAGTTGTGAAGCCGTGATTCTACATGTAGACTTGTTGATTTCAGTTAAGATACGAGATATAGTCCACCATTTCCAGAGCACTGAATATTCTTCTTTTCCCTCGATAAGAGATATTCAGACTTTAGATCAGTGTGCCAAATACAGTAGATAAAGAGCCTCCTAAAGATATACTAAACTTACCTAAGTCTTTTCGTCGCTTAGGGTCGAGGCCTGAGCTTGCTTGCTTCCCTTCTTTTTCCTCTATTAGATCCCGAACTATCAGCATCTTCATGTTCCTAATCCTTCGGGTGCAAGCCAGTAGTTACAGATGTTTGTGTTGCTCATCTCCACGAGGCCAGCAGTAATTATCCATGGGCCATCAGCTAGCTACGCAGTCCCGATTTGTGACACGATCTTTATACACCTTTTTCCAACGTATGCCCAACCCAAAGAATCTGCTGTAGGTCTTCTTTCCAGTTCCCGCATGGGTCTCCATGACATGACTCCATCATTACCGACCCTGAAGCAAACCTCTCACCCCAAAACACTATTCAACCTCGTAATCCTCCAGCACCAGCAAGCACAGATCAACTGATCAAGACCAATTAAAACCCGTCGCATCTCGTGTTTAATAGACTTTCGTTCCTTGGGCATATCTTGATCCAATCTTGCCCCCGAAGCATCCGTTTGGCTGGATCTATCCGGGTCATCCGGACGCGCCACAAGATGGATCCCACACACCCAGCTGAGTTTATTTGAACTTCAAAATAGTAAATTTTACACTGTATATACTGTTGAAATTAATGTCTTGATCTGCAATCCAATAAATCTTTGCTAATGGGGGTGTTATTACTGCGGTTTGACTCCCTGGAGTGATGAGCTGTTGAGGAGTAGCATCTGTGTTGTCGCGGTATTATAATTTCAATATCGCAAGGCTTATGCAAGTTCTTATTGATGGCGTCTGTTGGGCCGATTGAGTGTTGTTGGAGGAACGAGCCAACATCCTTGGCTGCTGTTGTTGCTATTGCGATATCAGGGCGCCATCTTGTATTGAACCATGACCTAAATGTAAGTCGAGAACAGTGGAACGAGAGTCGAGGACCAAGTGCAACATTGATTAATAAGAAAATACGGAAGTTTTGAAATGCAAAGCAATGAACATCACAGAGGCAAAGATAATTGATAAAGTTGAATCGATATTCAGTCTGTTTCTGATATCTACACATTATGCTCATGTACTTTCTCCTCCCCAGGTCACCACCGTGACCCCCCAACTTTCAGGTATAATTAAAAAAAAGAGATAACCTCCTCATCAATAGCAGCAATTGTTAACAAGATTCATAATCTTAGACGTGGTCGTCGTGCTCAGTCTTGGGGACAACCTTGACATCACCAGCACCCATGGTCTGGGCGAAGGTGGTGTGAGGTCGCCACTTGGCAGAGGTTCGGGGAGTGGTCTCCTCCATCATCTTATCAACCTGCTCGAGAGACAGACCCTTGGTCTCGGGGACGAGGAAGTAGGTGTAGACGAAGGCGCAGGTGCAGAGACCGCCCCAGATGAAGAAGACGGAGGACTTGAGGTTGCCACGGTTCTCGCCGACCATGTAGGGGGTGATGACGGCGATGATGGTGTTCCAGAGCCAGTTGGAGGCGGTGGACAGACCGACACCACGAGATCGGATGGGGATGGGGAAGATCTCGCCGATGACGATCCAGGCACCAGGGCCCCAGGTGGAGGCGAACCAGAAGATGAAGATGGCGATGAAGGCGATCTGGGCGTTGACGGCGCTGATGTTGTTGGCGATCATGCGGTCGGGCTCGTCAGCGGTGGGAGAGGAGTGAGTGTGGTTGAAGCCGACGGTGACACCGATGATGGCGACGAGGAACTGGCAGATAAGCATACCGAAGGCACCGATGAGGAGGATGCTTCGGCGACCGAATCGCTCAACAGTCCAGAAGGAGAGAGGAGTAGAGCAGACGTTGACGAGGGTGAAGACGAGAGAGATGAGGAAGACGTTGTCGATAGCACCAGTGGACTGGAGGAAGGGAGTAGAGTAGTAGAAGATGAAGTTGACACCAGTCCTGGTTATTGTTAGTGGTGATCTTGTTCTGGTGTTGAGGAAGAAGCTTACCATTGCTGCATCATCTGCATAGAAGTACCGAGGATAGTTCGGCGAAGGTTAGACTTGCCATCCCAGAGGCTGCCCTTGAAGCAGTTGGCCCAGCTGCCGAACCAAGAAGTAGAGGGAATGATCTGGCGCTCGTACTCCTCGTTGGCGACGATCTCGGCGATCTCAGACTGGACGAACTTAGAGTCCTTGGGCTGACCTCGGACCCTGGCGAGGGCGTCAATGGCGTCTTCGATGCGGCCACGCTTGACGAAGTATCGAGGAGAGTCGGGGAGGAAGAAGAGACCACCGCCGAGGATGACGGCCCAGGGGAACTGGAGACCGATGGGGATCTGGTAGGACTTCATGCTGTCGAAGTTCTCGGTTCCGTAGACGACGCAGGCAGCGAGGAGGAGACCGATGGTGATGCAGAATTGGTAACCGGCGACGAGGGCACCGCGAACCTTCTTGGGGCACTGGTAGAGCTGTTAGCATGGTGTTGCGAGGACAGTGTGAAGAGGAATCAGACTTACAATCTCAGACATGTACAGAATGACAATGGCAGACTCGAAACCGACACCGATACCGGCAATGAGACGACCGACAACGATGCAAGCAAGGGCATCACCATGACCAGTAATCATCTGAATAACAACACCAAGAGCGTAGATAAAGCAACCAGCAATGACAGTCCACTTGCGACCAATGCGGTCAGCAAGATCACCAGCGATGAGGGCACCAAAGAAGGTACCGCAGGAGAGGATAGAGACGATCAGAGACTGGTGGCTCTCGCTGAGCTTGTCGGCACTGGCGCCCTCGACCTGGTGGATGAAGTACTTTGAGCCGTTGACACCGTTAATGTAACCGGAATCGTAGCCGAAGAAGATACCACCGAAGGACGCGAAAGCGCACATCAGGTAGGCCTTCCAGGTGACGGGGGCCTCGATCTGCTCGACATTGTCGGCAGTCTGGAGGGCGACGGAGCCGCGACGCTCCTCGTTGTGATCTTCAACGCCCATGGTGGTTGTGTTTTTTTGTGAACCAGGCAGAGGAAGAATGAATGAGGGGGGGAGAATGGGGGAGTATTTATTTGTGTGAAGTCAATCACAAGAGGAGAGGGAGGTTTGTTGTTGAAGTGTTGAGCTGTGATGAGTAGGAGAGAGTCTGGACGAGGAAGGGGGGAGCAGGGTCTATTTAATCTCAGACGGAAACTGAAGAATTGCCTGGATGGATAGGTAGTTCGTGTGTCTTTCTGTTACCAAACAGCTGAGAGTGTGATCTACTACCATGCCATGCCAATGCAGCTTGACATTGCTGTAAGCTGCCCATCGCAGCTAATCCAAACAAGGTCAAGGACTCACAAGTGGCACAAGCCCAGGCAAGGTTACAAGTTGCCTACTCGGGTAACTAAGGTAAACTTGGCAACCATCGGCCGTTCACGAGCATCCAGATTCTTCTGATCCTACCAGTTCTGTCGCGCCAAAAACAGACGCGCAGAGAGTGAGTGCCCATGACCTCGGAGCTTTGCGAAGCATAGCCTGTTGTTAGGGGCAGACTAAAAATGGTCCCGGGGGCCCATGGGGCACGGTAAATGGGGGAACAGGGGGGGGCATCGCTGTATGCACGCCCCCTGAGCTTAGAAAAGTGCGGAGGCGGCCGCAAGAATGCCATGAGGTTCGGGTAGTGGGGTGCGGGTAGGAAAAACATGGCAAAAATACGGAGAAACTTTGAAGATTCTCGGGCGTCTAAGTGAATATATATGCATTCCATATAATCAAGAATGACACTGAATAGCATCAACAATAAACAAATCAGTGTTAATCAGTCACATACCCTCATCGCCGCCTCACCAGCCCAAGACTTCTGTACCACAATTAATCATGTGGTGAACATGTCACCGTCTCACAAGAACACGTTCATTTCGATCTCATTTTTCTTAATTAAAAAATCATCACGAAAATGAAAAAAAAAACTTGACGCGCTCCAATATCTTGATCTGGGCTGGTCTGGGGAATCTCGTGGGGCTTCGTTGAGGGCGTGCTACGAAGTAAGGCCGAACAAAAAAAGGACCCGACAATTAACTTGCCCGTATTTTTAGTGGAGGGGGGAGCCGACGGCGGTTGAGACCCATAACGTTAACGGGCCTGGGCCTACTGTACAGGGCCAACATGAGAAGCGCCGAGTATCGCCCGGCCGTTTATTTCCTTGCGCTTGTTCTTCCATCACGGGACCTTGGACCTTCTAAAGATCTAAAGGTTCTAGAGTATCGAGTCAGACGGGAACGGACTTTAATGGGAAGAGGGAACCAAGCTGGCGGTATAACCCATGAACGATATCATCGTGGCATTGACCATTACGAAAAATTTAGAGATTAGCTCAAGGTAGATTTGAATTGCGAAGTGAAGCCTATCTTGATGCTGATCACTGTAACCATATCTGCAAAATGCCATGCTAACCTTTCCGTAAGCATACACCACACTCTTTCAAGCTTCAGCCAGTAATCGGCAGTCTCCAGCAACCCTCCTCAAAAGCCCGACGCGGGGAAATTCACCACACTCTACAGCTCACTCTACCCAGTAAAACGCAGTACCCAGCAGACGAAGAAGAAAAAAAGACATACAAAAAGGGGTCCCACGGGCGACTCTCGGTGGTACTCGAGACGCTACGCCCCTGCGCTCCGACTGCATGGATGGGTTGTAATTGACCGAGCTCAACACCGCAAGCCAACCCAATACTTTGGGGTAATAGCTTCCCCCTTCCCACTCATGAGACCTCACCTTCACACAGTTGGTCTGGGGAAAAGATACTGCAACTCCTCCCCCAGAGAAAAGTGTCAAAGAGTGCCTCCGAGTCGGCGACCGAGATGCCTTATAGTGGCATGCATCTGACCCCAGAATCTCCGGATTTTCAGCCAAGCGACGCTGCGGGGAGAATCGCCGTTTCACCGAGAGCGATTCCTTCAGAACTTCATAGCTAGTAGTCAGTCGTGAAATGGCAATGTTGGTGATGTTTGTAAAGGAAGAACAAGCCACCATCGTCACGAGAACCGCGAATCGTCCTGTCATGCATAATTTCCGGGCCGAAACGTCAAGGGCCTGGCCAAGAACAGGAGCTTTGCTGTGCTGCACCACACCACTCAAAAAGCAGCAGGGGTGCGGGTTTGGTAATACGCACAGCGTTTTCTTCCGTAAGAGACTCAAAGGAACGCTCACACGAGCCGTAAATGGTTGCCGCGAATGGGTCTAGTTCTATTGCATTATGGAAACATTACATATTGGATTGGAAGCTGAATAGCCGCAATTGCCATGTTGGTTGTAAATTAATTACCGACCTTGTATTGGTGCATTTACCATTGGTGGTCTACAAGTTCGAGATAAAGCATGTCAGCGGCGGAGTGAAGTTACACTTGATATTGCACCGAGATACTGGTAATTCACCCAAAACTGACTGTGCAGAAGGAGATGCGATGCTTGAAACCACATGATCTGAACCACGGCCTCGGAATCGATCCATTGTATTAACTCGACCCTCATATTCCCGTGGGGTCACGAGAACAGACCAGATTATTGAGATAGAGTAATGTCAACCATGACCAAGCAAATACTCCATCAAATACCACTCCATAAACTGGAGTCTCGAAGTTCTTCCTGAGCTTTGCCGAAGACCTACCCCTGGGCTCACATCAATTGGCATTGGCGATTCTGATCCAAGTGGGTCCTCGGCCGGACTCACTCTGAAGCCATCGTGTCAGATTCCCCCAGCTCATTAAAATACGCCTAACTCCGGGGTTCCTCGTGACTGGAGAAGAAGAATTTTCTTATAAAACTATGGTTATTTTGCAAACTCGGCCGAGAATTATGAATAGCCGTCTTTCCGAACACGCGGATGTGCATTCCGAATGCAGTATTCTTCCGCATCGTCCGTTTTGCTCTGCTGGTCACTCATCAGATCGAAAGTCTTATGTAGTGGCGTTGGATTCCAGCAAGTCATCAGACATTTTCAGCTAACTTTTTAGTGAAGCCTCTGACGGCACTGATCCTTCCTTGCCTCTCTGTAGTTCATGGCAAAATGGGATGATTCGTTCTAGATTTTTGAACCTGTCTCATTGTAATGATTACCCAGGACAACCACCACTTGTCTCAGATGTCCCCCGTCCAATGCTGGCACGCCTGCTGATCGACGCTGCCATCCCATCCACACCATCCATCTCATTCTTTCTTCCCCACAACATGCAACAATAGCCATTCATTCCATCTCCTCTTCATGATTCGTCCATTTGCTTTAAATGCCAAACGCAACGTTGAATCCGTTTCGGTTCAGACGGCCAAGACACCCGCCACTGACTCACTTGCTACTGTATGCGAGATCCATGTCCATAGGGTAGCAATCAGGAGAGTAAAAAAAAGAAAGGGTAGCAGTAGAGTTACAATTATGCTTCAGCCATAGAATTGACTTCTCCCTGGGCGCGCCAAGATCGTCAGCTCTACACAGATGCATTGTATATCTATTTCCTGTTTTATAATGGTAACAAGGTCTCGTGATGATGAGCTCCGTGCTCCTTCCGGCTTGGTCTGAACGATAATTCGAGCTTGCTACAAGCTGCATGTATCGTGTGTTTCCCAACGGTCAAGTGTGCATGCGAAAATCCCATCATATCATCAATGGCGACCGCCGCTTTGACATGGCATGATGAAGATCTCGGTTGTTGAAATCAGATCTTATAGGGTAACATACGAAAAAAGCGATGATCAGTGACAATGCAACGGTTTAGCGATTGTCGTTGCTGAAATGTGATTGCTATAAGTTACCCTAGATCTGCAGGGTTGGCTTTCGCGGGGATGTGAATTTCTGGGGTTGTGAGTGAGCATCACCGATCGGACTCCAGATTCTGTCTGACTCGAAGCGAACGCTCCATCATTTGCAAAGTCACCCGCAATGACGATCAATTGATCGGTATGGAGCTCGTCCGTGCTCACAGATCCGATTTGTTCAATAGCTCCCGTATCGCGACTCGATAAGCTCTCTCCATGAAGCTCTCGCGCCAGCAACCTCTGCAGACACTGGGCAGCTTCTATCGCGTTGAGCGGGTCTCAATGATCAATCGCCTTTCATCATACAAGAACTGACTTTCTACAGACAAGATTGCGCCCAGCAGTGGATGCGATCTTGGGCAATGAGCGCGCATTTCTTTTAAATGCTTCGGCGGCCTGACTTGGGAGCTCTCTGAGCATATCGCCAACTCCCTACATCACCGACCTTGCTGGACCCCTCGAACGCGGCGCCATTCACGATGCCGAAAAGCCACGACCATCCAAGTATCACGATCTTATCTCCCCATCAAGGTTGTGAGATCCCGATCATGGCCACCCCACGCCGTTGCTGAAGCAGCGCTCACCCCGTGGCCACGAGGCGCCTTCTCCATGAATAAGTGTCAGGCTGGGTGTGTACCGTTATGCTGGGTTCTGAAGCCATTGACCAGCAGACTGGGAGGCATACGTAGTGCGAGCAGACCGACCTCGGGCTGGGCCGTGTCAACGGTTATTGTTGACGAGTGTCAATGTTTAGATACGATCGCGATGCAGTTGACTCGCGAGATGAGGCTGCTTCGAGATTCGCAATTGAAGCCTTGCGGATATTTAAAAGATGCATTGACCAGAGGTTGTCACCAAGTGGTCTGAGTTGCACAATCTGACCATACCTCAAGAAGCATACTAAAGACAATCCGTCTAGAGAGAGAATTGGAAGTCCAACCTCAAAATGAATCTCTTCGAACTCCGCAGACACAAAACTCCGCCAATATACCACCCACGAACCCCCTCGAAGCTTCAATCTCCGTCAATGCAACCCCTCCATACAACCTAATACGAAAACTTCTGTCCGCAGGACGTAAAACAATAGAACATAATCGAATGGCATGAATGTAACGAGCTGAATAATAACATCCCAGCGTTTAATAACAAACTTTGAATGTTACGCCGTATATAGAAATACCTCCATAAATAAACGGCTTCCAGAACCTTTCTGGTCTTTCTTCCGACTCATGAGCCGAGGCATCTCCACTAGACTCTTAACAATTTTTTATTTTTTCGCCGCTTTGTAAAAGACGTCATTGATACTTATATCATGATGCGTACGTTGCATGCCATTGACTTTTGTTTCATGTGATTTCATCATTCATAATTGTATATTACTCCATTATCAGCTTTGTCCTCAATTGCCTTCAACGTATCCTAACACGACGAACCTCCCAACACCATAACGCAACATCAACAGCTCCTCACAATGGCCGAAATGCAAGCATGGCAAGTCGCCCATCCAGGCCCAATGGAAAAAGTCTTCCACCTCACCACAATCCCCAAACCAACAACCCTCAAGTCCGGCCAGATCCTCGTCAAAGTCTCCCGCGCAGCCCTCAACCCCGCCGACTACAAGGTCTGCGAGCTCGGCGTCGCATCGCGCCTTATAACCTCCTTCCCCAAGATTCCAGGCATGGATCTCAGCGGCCACGTAGTCTCCGTCGCAGAAGACGTGACCGATGCGAAAGAAGGAGATTTCGTACTCGCTAGAGCGTCGCCGACAAAGGCTTGGGGGTCGCTGGCGGAGTATACGGTTTGCGACAGGGAGGGGTATACTGTTATTCCGGAGAGCTTGGATCTGGATCAGGCTGCTGGTGTGGGAACCGCGGGGTTGACGGCGTATCAGACTATTGCGCCGTATGTCAAGAGTGGTGATAAGGTGTTTTTGAATGGTGGCTCGGGTGGTGTTGGACTGTGGGGTATTCAGATTGCCAAGGCGTTGGGATGCTCTGTTACAGTGTCGTGCTCAACGGGCAAAGCAGATCTGTGTAGAAGCTTAGGCGCGGACGATATCATCGACTACAAAACCAGCGACGTTATCGCCGAGCTCAAGAAGCGCGGTCAAGTCTTCAGCCACTGCGTCGACAATGTCGGCGACGCACCTCCCAACCTGTACGCTTCATCAAACGACTTTCTCCTCCCCGGCAGCAGCTTCGTCTTTGTAGGCGGGCACGTCTCAGCCAAGAGTGTTCTCAGCTTAACGACAAACCTTGTACGACCCTCCTTTCTGGGCGGTGTAAAGGCAAAGTTCGTTACGTACGCTACTGCGAACAAGAAGAAGGATCTAGATCAGTTGAGGGATTGGTTGGTGGAGGGCAAAGTCAAGACTGTGATTGATTCGACGTTTGGGTTTAAGGAGGCGGTCAAGGCTTTTGAGCATTTGAAGAAGGGGTCCAGTGGTGGTAAGGTTATGATTCATGTTGAGTAAGGATGGGAATTGTGATACCATGGGTGGCGTTTTGCCATTAGATGTAGACTATGTTACAGTAATGTACTTGTTTGCTTGCGACTGTCGTTGATCACGTTTGTGAAGTACAAGCCGTCTAGCGACAACCCTGATACATGTTATCAATGCCATATTGATGCAGAGACACCCACCAGGACCTTTAACGAGACTCCATAGAGTGATGCATGCGAGATGTGTAGAGTCGGCCGGTCCCAATCGTCATCCCATACCCAGCTGAGCCTGGACTTTGCAGGAGATGGAGATATGGGAGCGGCTGCTGACAATCGGGGCGGATTGTTTGAGCACGGTCTGCCTATCTATGACCAGATCTGAAGCCCAGTCTCAGTCTGCAGGACTGTCGCCTAGTTCAAACCCCCAATAAAGATGTGAGAGAACTGCGCAAGTGTCTCGTGATGGGCCACGAAAGTGCCTTCAAGTAGGGCCATTCCTCAACCTTGATAGAAGATCCGAATCTCCCTCCCCTCTCAAGTCCCCAACCCAGCAGCAAACTTCTTCGCAACCCACGAAGCACCATGCTCCTCATACTCCGCCTTGGTAACAGCCAACCTCTCAATATTCGTATGACACGCCAGATTCGCACCCCCAAACCAAGTATGCGTAACCGGATCCGCAGGCCTCGCAACCCTAACGATACAATCATCCGGCACCCTCTGCACAACCTCCTTCTGCAGCCGCTGAATAAACCCATCAAAATGCGTGTTTCCACCAACAACGATAATGTTGGCTAGTAGAGCAGGCCAGAGACCAATGGGCAGTTCTTGTAGGGATTCGTAGACGAGGTCTGCGAGACCGGGTTGTCGGATCCCAGCGTCTGAAGGGTTGAAGAGGATTTCGGGGACGGTGAAGCGCTCGTTGCGCAGGGTGAGGGCGTCTTCTTCGGATTGGGCTGCTAGTTTTCGGGATTTGGAGTGTCGCGCGGGATCGAAGTCAACGAGGGTTCCTTTGAAGCGCGTGTGGAAATCGGGAAGGATATAGTCTTTGGCAATACCGCCGCCAGACAAATAATCTGGTCGACGTTCGCCCCTCGTTCCCTTCCATGACTTTTCGAGATCGGCTTTGAAGTCGGCGGAGACGTAGCACGATAGTTCTTTCATCTCGTTGACGATGTATGTGTCGTTACGCATATCGAAATGTCGCAGAGAGATCAATCGTGTGAGGTAGTTCGTTAAAACCTTGCCGCCGACATCCAATCGTTTGATAGCGGATTGTAACGGTTGGCCGCGAAGCACTGGTGTGATGGTTGTATGCGAATATCCGGAATCGATGACCATGACGGCTTCGGCGGGGGTGTTAGCGACCGTTGGAGCCTCTTGCGGCGTTCGAAAGATATTCTGCACATCGTGATACGCATTGAACGTCGAGCCTGTCGCAATCAGCATCCCAACCCCATCAGCACATCGCATAGCTTACCTATCCCCCGATAGTAACTTGCAAAGCCATACTCCTCGAAAACAATCTGATCACAATTCGCCTGCAAAATCGGCAGCCCATTCGGCGGCTCAGCGAGTATCAACCTCGCATCCTTAGGCTCAAACTCCTCCCTCTCGAAAATCTCCCTATCCCAAATCTCCTTCTGCGCCTCCCAATTGACAATAAACCCCTTCTCAACAGGCCGTCTGAACTGTATCTCGCCGAAATCGCGACATTTTTCTAGCTCGGATGCGACGTAGATCTTGCGCGTGCGGTCGCGGGCGATCACGTTGGGGATGATCCGGGGTTCGGAGGGGATCGTGGAGGAGTGGATGAGGCCGGCTTTTATGGTGGAGGCGCCGTTGTCGAGGACGAGGGTTGTTGATGGGCCTTTTGGGGGCGCGGGTTTGGGTTTGCGTGGCCCGGCCATGGTGGGAGTTGGAGGATGAGGGAGGTGATGATGGGTTTTTGGAATTGGACGCGATGGATTTGATGGGAGGGGTGTTACGTAAGCCATCATGAGTTGAATTCATGATATGCAGTCATCTTACTCTTGGCATGAGGGAGCTCAATGCTCCTCCGTGATTTAGTTTAGTAACCTGCTGTGTACTCAAACAATTGATGAGAGATTGTGTATTCTCTGTCTCAATCGGCTGGATGTAGAATTCCCGATCGCAAAAATGGCACCTCAAACCCTCTCACGCCTCCATCGTCACCAACATACAGCAACACTCTGTCCAGAGACTCACCACCATAATGAACCCAATCCTGAATCGACCAGCCGACACAATTCATCTCTTCAATCTCATTCCCAGGAAGATCCGTTTCAAACCCCGAGTTGAGGTCAGGCCACAAATGCCATACCTCCTTCATAACAGGCTTCCCATCCAATGTCGCATTCTCACGAAGTTGACTGGGAAACACTCGGATCTTGGGTCCAACTTCTGGAAGAAAATCGCCTAGTGTAAGTCCCCAGATATCCGTAAGACTAGAGAGAATATCTGTGTTGTTGCGATAAAGTGACGCGAGGACTATTGAGTCATCGTCCTGCTCCAGTGCTGCCTCAATGAGAACACTGTGGGCTTGGCCGCTCATGTACCTCTGCTCAAATCTCTTTGACTGCTCACGCGATACTTCATCCGCAGCGGCAACAAAAGTCGAAAGCATAGCATTTGTAAGAATAGGCGCTGCCTTCATCGGACCGGCAGTCAAGATGATGATCGCCAGACCGTAGTCATCAATAAAGCTGAGTTGACTTCTGTAGTTCTGCGCACCGCCACTCTTACCATAGACAGTAACAGCATGAGGATGGCCTGGCGTGAGGCTTGATAGACGCAGTATTTCCCAAGGCATGCCAGTCAAGGTGTATGCATTTCCTGCAAAGGCACTGGGCTTGAGCCAGCCGTTGATCTCCGTTAAAGTCATGTTCAAGGTTCTTGATAGCAAGGCCTGTGAGAACTTTGAGAGATCAGCAAGAGAGGAGACCAACCCCCCTGCACTAATAACAGTCAGTACTCAAAGAGCAGCTTTTACATGATGAACTTACGGAGTGTTCAATTTGTAGTCCGAGCCCCAGCTGCTATCCCCAGACGGAATTACCGCCTTATCATCATTGCCAGGCGAAGGAAAAGTATTGTTCATACCCAGGGGACCTGAAACAATTCCTTCGAGTAACTGTGCATAGGTCTTACCGGTATACAGCTCAAGAGCCATACCAAGGATGACAAAGGCCATGTTTGAGTATGCTGGCCTCTCGTTGGGAGCAGTCTGGGGGTGAGACTCTTTCATTCCTGACAAAATCTCTGAAAGGCATTAGCATAGATCTCAATGCCTTGGAGTTCTTCGTACCTTGTCCTGTACAACCCTTGTTGAGACCTACCACACCACATGGTGGATAGTCGCTGTCCTCAACGGGGGGAAGACCATACGCAAGGAAGACTTCTTTTAGGAGGTAAAAGTCTGAGAACCCATCTGAGGCAAGCGAGTTAGTTCTACACAGAAATAGGCAGAGAATTTTACTGACAGTTTGCTGGCGTACCACCCAAGTACGAAGCCAGCATCCTTAAACTCACATCCCTCCACTGAATCTTTGACTTCCCATCAAGCTCCGGAAGATACTCTGTAACCGGTGCATCAAGATCCATACCGCTCTTTAGGAGCACATAATCCGTAAACACCTTTGTTATAGATCCGATGAGATACTGAGAATCTCTATCGAGCTTCTTGGTACCCTTTGTGTTAGCAGCTGCAAGATGATGGTACTCCCATATCGGCACACCAGGGTCGTCTTGATCCGCGCCTACGACTGCAAGTGAGAACGAGACATTCTCGATGGGCCATCCTGCAGTGATTGAGCCTGAGAGAGCTGCGTTGAGAGTTTCAGTCAAGTTGGCGGCGGCTGCTTGGAAGATTGATGACTTGGCGAGGGCTGTTGGTCTTGGGAGAACAGGACTTTCGGGGCGACATTTGAGCTCCGCTTTAGCGAACTGAGCTGTCAAAGACAGGATTGAAGCGATTGAATGTGAGAGCTTCATGATTGAGACCTCGTGGATAGAAACCGTCTTGTGAGTAACTCTTGTTATCATTCATCATTCCGACGAAAGCAGAGCTCTTATACATTTCATTTCACCCATCATGAAAACAATCAACACCATTCGCGTCCAAAATACGAAATACGAAACAAACGCATCGTCAGATCCATCGTCATTCGATACTGAGATCTCGGAGTGAAGATCTAGATGATCGACACGGCAGTTGTAAGACGGCGTCGCGCTAAAGCAAGGTTGAATGCGAGATACGATGCACATCCCCATATTATTCTCTTGGCCCTGCACAACCACATGAACAACTCCGGCACTCACTTCTCCTCATCATAAGAAATAAATTATCTATTCATAACCCTCAAGTTAAATCTTGGGTGTGTCCATGGCACTGGATATCAACCTCCACCGCACCGCCGTCTCATCCCTCGGCACAACCCCCATATCCTCAACCCGTCTCGCATTAACAAAATCAGGACCGCCGCTCCCCCACGCATAATCCTTCCACTTCCCAAGCGCAGGCCACATCTTTTCTCTCACGAGACTCTCAATTTTTACCTTGCGCTGCGTCGCTTCTTCATCACCTACAAGGCCTACTACGCTCGTCCACAGGGCCCATGTTTCTTCGAGTTCGTCTACGCTGGAAACACCCATGACGCTTACGCCAAGACGGCCTGTGTCGCTGGGATTTATCTTTGTGCCGAACCGTGAGCCTACGCGCGCCCAGTTCTCGAGCGCCCAGCGGATGGCCACTTCTTCGAGATGCTCGCCGGAGTCTTGGGCGATGCTGGAGAGTCTGGCGCATAGGTCGCGGAGTTCTTCTGGGGCAGGATGCCATGCGCGCATGGGGCTGTTGTCGATACCGCGGGTGGTTAATAGTCCCATACCGAGCATGCTGGCGTTCGGTACGCAGTCTACGCCTGCTGCTTGAAAGCGATCTAGCAATGCCTTGTTTCCCAGCTGGCTGTTCTGCACGCAGAAGTTGCTGTACGACATAACAGCGTCCAACGGCTCTCCAGTCTCGCGCAAGATCATCTCCGCCAGCGACGCAAGCGTATCAACTGGATATCCACTGATTCCGACATATCGAACAAGACCTTGATCCCTCAAGTGTCGAAGCTCCGTAACAGCAGCGAGGACCTCCTCCGGCGAAACAAACTCCACATCATGCGTGTACACAAGATCAAGATACGAAGTGCCCAGCCGTTCAAGACTGCGATAAACACTATATCGGATCCAAGCGGGTGAGTAATCAAACTCATCGCCCGCAATGCGCCCAGCTTTCGTGATGAGGAAGTAGTTCTCCCTAGGCGGGGGAGGCGTTAATTTTCGTAGCGCATCGCCGAGGAGGATCTCGGAGGGGCCGTAGTAGGGAGATGTATCGAAGCCGAGGATGTTGTGGGCGAGGGCGCGGCCTACGATGTCGGTGTAGGGCATATGAGTTGGATCGGGATGGTACTGGTGGTTGAACGTTGCTGTTCCGAGGATGAGGGGAGGAATGACCTCCGAGAGAGGTTTTCTTTCGTCGGCCATGGTTAAGATTGAGAGAGGAGAAGAGAATGCGCTTGAGAATTGGATCTGGGAGTCTTGGGTCCGTTATTTTTTGCGGCGTTGGAGTTTTCGGGTAGTGGAGGGGCTCGGCGATATCGGGATCTGATTAAAAACGCAGAATTCACGAAACAAAATTACTGAAGAGATGGAAAATCTCTGTGAGGTCAAGATATCTATCACGAAAGGAAGAAAAGAAAACAAGGGTCCGTTAGTAATTTCAAGGGTCGCCCCTAATCGAGCGATCCATGGCCATCAAGCGCGATCGCGAGCGTATCTGTGTCACTCTGTGATGAATCATTATCAACAGAGATGGAATTTCCCGCCCGACGGACCGACAAGACCAAACCTGAAAGAGAAGTATTGGACCGAGTACGTAATTTGCGCATTCGGTTGCGCCATTTGAGGACCTGACCTGTCAAACGTGCACGTTGTTGTCAATCGTGAGGAGAACAGTGAAGAGAGGGGAATGGGATTGTTTTAAGGTGAGCGATCAGCATTGGAATAGTAAAATAAGGTAGATTAGATCGTGACCCCCAAACGAAACCCCCAAAATGAGTGGATTCACTAACTTGTTCTATTTCCGTTCCATTACCTGTTCTATCGGATCTACTTTGTCTCCGAGCGGGGAGGACTGGGGTGCAGTGGTTCGAGATAGTATCGTGCCATATCTCATCTGAGTCGACTTATTCAAGATTGGAGCGGGAAAAGTGGTATGATTCTAGGAGCCAGTCCTTATCAATTATTGAAGCAAAAGTGGTGAGTATCTGAAAAGAGTCGAGTTTCATCCAATCCATATTTTACGCCCCGACTCCAAAACCAACCAGCAAAGAAAACAACAAGAGTGGAAAATCCGAATACGCTTCATCATGACGCCTCGCTCAGTCCACTTTCCAAGGGGACTCCATTCATATTCCAGGGACCTTGTAGATGCGCCAAGTCATTTACTGTACCATGATCAGATGTGAGGTTGCATTGGTCCTTGGTTGACACATGTCAAATACGTGGTGCATCAGACTCGACTGAGACCACGACCTCGACAGAAACACCCTGTAAAGCAAGTTAGATGATGCAAACGAATAATGATCAGAATAACATACAGTCGCACTAGAAACAGTCAGTAAGAATTCTGTTGCGTGGAAGATTGGGGAAACTTACAAAGGCGCTTGATGATCCTTCATTGTGAATGAGACAGTATCCGCCGCCGCACTTTTTGCAAAACTTTTGCGTGCGTTCAATACAATCATTGCACTAGATACCAATTAGCTTCCATATTCAGTGACAGTAAAAGGTGGCGCACATTGATGCCGCATTCCCAGCAGCTTCGCGAAACATGTCTCTTCACATCATCACCACCACCAAAAGGATGATAACATGTCTCACACCACCACTTATTACACGCAACACAAAACCTATCCCTCAAACAATCAGCACACCTCGGCACGAAATTCTCATGTCCCGGGCGCGGCGTTGTGGCAGCCTGCACGGATGACGAGAGGATCGGCGGCGGAGCTAGCAGCGGTAGCGAAGAGCAGTGCGTCTCAGCCGTCATGACACCCTCAGGCGCTTTGCCACAGCCTGCGCAGCCGCCCACGGAGAACGTAGCGACCGCTGGGCTGCACGGCGAGGAGACGCTGCAGGACCCAAAGGCTGGTGAGCTGGCGTGGCGAGGACCTTGGCAGAGCACTGCGTCGAAGGAGATTAGGCTCTGGCAGGCGAGCATGCATTGCGCCCAGTCGTCCATGTCGCTGGTGCTGTTGAGGACACGGCCCTTTTTGGACCACCAGGCATCGGAATCGTTGGCCTGCGCATTTTCATCGCAGGGCATGGGGCCAAAGACGTAGACTGCTTTGAGTCGTGGGGTGTTCTCTGGTCGTGAGCTTCGACAGGCGTATGCTAGCGCTGCGCGAAGCTTGCCGTGGTTCAGGTTATTGACGCCGCGGATCGAGAGCATGCGCACGCTGTATGACGGATCGTTGACGATCTCATGGCACAGCTCAGCTGTGACAGAGAGTCCGTCGAGGATTAGAGATTGAACATCACGAAGAATATCCCGTTGTCGTAGGGTAGAGAATATGCCCCTCAAGGGCCCGGCGTAGAAGCTATGGATCCTGTGAGCTAACAGCCGTTTTAAAGTGGTCGCAGCGCAAAGGACAAGGGTACAGTGGACACGAGCAATGGAGTATGGATGGACTCACTCATCTTCAGTCAGGTAATCAGAAAGAGTGACATTATGCCAAACTGCAAGATTGCGCTCTGTTTCTTTATGCGCGCCTTCGCAATGCGCTGTCTTGACCCGTGTAAGATCGATGTGACGAAAGACACCGGGTGTTTCGTGGAGGAGGTAACGAATATCGCGACAGGTTGCGGCGAGGTTTAAAAGGCCTGATACGGGGAGGTAGGGAAGGGTATGACGAAGGACGAGAGAATTGTATAGAGTGTCAAAGAGGGTCAAGCCCTTTGTTTGGATCTGAGTGATCTCTGCGCGCGTTTGGTGGTCGACGATAACTTGGCTCATGTCAGGCTGGCATGAGTATTACAAGAGGTTGGGTATTCGATGATGGAGCAGCCCAACTGGCAAGGAGGGCTAATGGGGGATATAAGGGGGAAAATGATAGAGAAAGAGAGGAGGAGTCATGAGGGTTGGTGGTGAAGGATATATAGCTATACACGGAGTACACATGTTGAGACAAGACATGAGGGATGGGCCGTGTCATGCCAGCGGCCAAAGCGGCAATGATTTACTAGGAACAGATTTGGTCTGGGGGAGATATGCGCCGTTTGGGTGGGATGGGGACGTGCCCGGGATAATACAAAGATGGTCTGAGATGAGATTGGATTGGCGAGCCAAGTTCAGGTGGCTCGGAGGGTTTAACATGCTGCACGTTGTGAGTCAAGCTACAGAGGTACGGAGCGCAATTACATTACACAAGCTTGTTAGTTAAAAGCTTGGATGATCAAGTGGGGGACTCAACTCAACAACACCAAAAGAAGATACATAAAAAAAAAAAAAACGTTCCGGCTGAACCGGATACAGAATAACGGCATGCATAGTACAACGGTAGGAGGATGTGAATGTGAGAGGGGGGGTCTTGGAGATCGGCCCGTGTGAGCAGTCGATGTGGGGATTGGATGCATCTTCCAAGGTGAGAGAATCGGCCAGACTGATGATATCTTGACAAGATGGCATCACCAAAAAGACTAAGGTTGGGGGATCTTATCTCTCGAGGCGCACCATTCAATAGCTGAGCTTTGCGGCGGGAGCTAACGAGCATGGGTAGGTTCGTGTAGGGGTCCTTTCAACTCCGTAGATCAAAAGAGCCCCCTTTGGCGGGTAAAATGAGCTGTGCCACATTTGAGAGAGAGAAGGTGTACGGCTACCCTGATCAACATACCAGGTCTTTTGCAGATCCTACATTTCGGCGTCCGAAATTGCCAAGATAAGCTCTGGTGCAGGGAAATGATGAAATGAGCATCTTTTCAGGGCATACAGTCTTTCAAATTAGTTGGCTCAGTCGCAAAGAAAGCTTGGAACTAGTAGTGTCAATCTAACCAAGCTCTGTATATCTCGTCGGTCCGGGGATGCATTGCCGGGTCTCATCATGACCGCTTGAATTCAGCCATCATGGATGGGTTGCGCTGCATTGAGCCATTCTGTGGGGGTCAAAACACACAAACACCAACTCTGTTTCACTCAGAGTCGCGGACTTGTAAGAGCGGTGAATAAAAAAAAAGAGATGTTTGGGGTCTTTGTTTCGATCGACGTTATGGCCATGCAGATTGCCAAGACGGATCTGCTGGGTGATTATGCTCTGTGCCGCGCCCTCATTATACTGGAATTACGCGTAGTTGCTTAAGCCACGTTGCAACGCTGATGATCACTGAACAACAACATTACTGGCGATGCATTGCTGGGTTGTCTTGCTACGTGTAAAGTGAGGCGGGATGCTCCCCGGGCTACACGGAAACTTGATCAATGTTTTAAACAGGGTATGAGGCTATAGTCTGTAGTCTAATTTTAACCATGATATTAAGAGTTGAGCATTGTCTGTGCTTTGAGTCAACTCATGATACGGATCTGCGAGACCTAATGATAGCTCTGATACCGGATGCGTACGAGGTGGACAGCTTGTCAAAGCGATGTGCTTGCGGTGTCGGTGTTTTCTTAGTCCGTCGGAGATCGGATTTCCGATTATGCAAGGCCAGTAGGCAGCTCAGATCTGATGCGTCTGTCTTCTGGACGATGCTGGAAGAACGTCACCGAAATGGCTGACTGAGCATCGCCGCTGAGAGTCTGTTTCTCGTGATTCAGTCGGTATTAACAACATTTTGGATTTCAAGCAAAAAATAGTTTTAAATGATATTGTCATTTCTATCTCTGTTTCTCGCTTTATGACTATCATATTTCGTGCTTGATTCTACTACTACGTAATTGCATCTTATCAACCCCCACCATCTCATTCCAGGCCCTCACATCATAACTTCTACACATTACAGCCCAATCATGGAAGAGCCTGCACCCCTGCGCTGGTCGAGCGCATTACCCGTGATAAGTCCCTCTGCCATAGCGACCAAGAATCTTCGCGGCGACAAGATTCTTCTTCCACAATCTGCTCTTGAACAACTTTTAGCTGCGGCGCGATCTCGACCTTCGACAACGACTGCCCGATCAGATCCATGGTCATATTCCTCGAGCGACGCCGATACCGCACAACAACTACCGAATCCTTTAATATTCCGACTTGTGAATCCTAAGAATAAGAATGCTGTCTTTGCGGGTATCAGAGAGTTTTCAGCGTCGGAGGGAACGTTGGGGTTGAGTCCGTGGTTGACGGAAGCTTTGGGTATTCAGGAAGATGAATGCGTGTCGCCGAAAGAGGTGATAGATCTGGAACAAGACACAGCGCAGAACAGCGAACGAATGGACGTGGATGGCATTCAGATCAAAGTCGAGGCGCGACAACTTCCCAAGGGCACATACGTTCGACTCAGACCCTTAGAAGCAGGCTACAACCCCGATGACTGGAAACCACTACTCGAGCGACAATTACGAGAGAACTTTACAACACTAAGCAAAGGCTCAATGTTGGCAGTAAAGGGTGCGCGCGGGGAGGAGTTCAAGTTGCTCGTGGATAAGGTCGCTCCCGAGGGAGATGGCATCTGTGTCGTGGACACGGATCTCGAAGTCGATATCGAAGCTCTGGACGAGGAACAAGCGCGAGAAACATTACGACGAATCATGTCTGCGCAAAGAGGATCTACGGATGGAAGTTCTACTGGTGGAGAGATTGACATTTGGAAGGCTGTTGAGGGGCAGGTTCTTGAGGGTGAATACGTCGATTACGTGCTTCCCTCGTGGAACAAATCACAACCTCTTGCGATTGAGCTTACTACCGGCGAAGACGAAGATGCGCTCGATTTATTTGTTACACCGAAATCTTCGCGACAACGAGCGCTGCCACGAGAAAGTGTTCATGTCTTTGGGGATTTTTCACCGGCGGTTGATGGGGTCAAGAGGATTGTGATAAGTCCTACGAATGTGGAACTGGAGGGAGCGGAGCAGATCACAATATCAGTTCATGGATACAGACATCCAGACGCTACGGAATCTCCGAAGACATTGCAGTACTCGCTACGAGCCAAGGTGGACTTACAAGACGCCAAGGACGGAACGAATGGGCCATCCAATGGGGCCGGCGAACAAGAACACTCTCCCGATGAGGAGCCGTGTAGTAACTGTTTACAATTCGTCCCCAAGCGGACGATGGTGCTACACGAAAACTTTTGTCGGCGAAACAATGTTGTTTGCCCCAAGTGCAAATCCGTGTTCAAGAAGGGCTCTCCGGAGTGGGAAGCACATTGGCATTGTGAAAAGGACAGTGCTTTTGGGAACTCGACGCAGAGCAAGGCGAAGCATGACGATATCTTTCACACGGAGCGACAATGCCCAAACTGCGAGTTTTCGACGAATTCAATGGCTGATTTGGCGCGACATCAGACGAGCGTGTGTCCTGGGAAGTTGATCCTCTGTCGGTTCTGTCATCTTGAGGTTCCTCAAGAAGGGGATCCCTTCAATCCAAGTCCAGAGGTCGTTCTGTCTGGATTAACAGCTCACGAACTTGCAGATGGAACACGGACAACAGAGTGCCATCTTTGCGACAAGATCGTTCGTCTGAAAGATATGGAGACACATCTCAAACACCACGAACTCGACAAAGTATCTCGCCTCAAACCCCCAATCTGCCGCAACGCCAACTGCGGAAGAACAATGTTCGGCGTCGGATCAAGAGGCCAAGTCCGTCAAACAGCCTCCACTGATCAAGCCTCCAACGACATCGGTCTCTGCTCAATCTGCTTCGGGCCCCTATACGTCAGCATGCACGACCCTGAAGGCAAAGCCCTCAAACGACGCATCGAGCGACGCTATCTCGGACAACTCATGACAGGCTGTGGAAAATCCCACTGCGCGAATCCATGGTGTAAAACAGGACGCGCAAACGCAGGTCTTGAGGCGAAACCGTCCAGTGCGAGGGAGGTTCTACCGCTGGTGAAGCCGCTGCTGGGCGATGTGACGAATATGGATGCGCCGCTGTGGTTTTGCACGGATGAGGGGAGTCAGAGGGGGAGGAAGCTGGCGGAGATGATGGCGGAGGAGGGGGTTTGGGATGTTGAGTGGTGTATTGCTGCGGCGGAGGCTGAGAAGGGGAGTTTGGAGAGGATGAGGGACTGGTTGCAGGCTTGGGCGCCTACGAAGTAGGGTTGTGTATAATTTGATGATTATGATGATGTGGTGTTGGGGCGATGAGGATAGAGATAGACGGTATAGAGCACGCTACAACTGCAACCACTTTGACAATATGATAAATATGGATCAAATCGCAAAGCTTAGCTTCTAAGATGCCGAATACGGATTTGAAGACGACGCATAGTTACATTCACATCACCATCCGGATCATTCGGAGGAGGTCAGACGATGGTCTGATTCTCACCAGCATAACTGTAATTCCTGAAATCACAATTACTCTGTCCATAATTATATGCATAATTCGAAACACTTATCAGTCATCTTGAAAAAGATCCATGTGAAACAGAAATGCTTGTTTCTTGATTTTTGACATTCTGGGTTCAAGGATCTTCACCTTTAGTGACGGCCCATGACGTTGATGGGCGATGCCGAGTCAGGACTGCAGATCTGTGAGAAATGTCGAAACAAAAAAGAAAAAAAGAAAATACAGAGCACAAGTCCAGGGTAAAGCTGTTAATTACTGAGCTGATGATGATGCGGGCCTCAATCCGCAAGAGATACAGGTGAGGAGATACTGGTTGGCATGGAATATCACCATGTTCAAGGTTTACACCAAGAGATAGCTCTGCCAGGATAGCTTACGACGCTTGTAGGGTTGGAAGGTTCTCCAACTTGAGCGAGTGAGTTGTCAACGTCAATGTCAATTCGATTCCTCAGTCATCAACTTGAGACATACCTTGCTCTCCCCTTCAACACCAACAAATCTCTATCTTGCTCTTCTTTTTTACTTCTCTCTTTCTATTGAATAGCTTCGCGCTACCCCGCGGACTAAGGTACCCTTTTCTCACCATTTACCCACCCGCCTGGCTCGCGGGCTCCAGTATCCGATCTCAGCTAAACCAGGTCCAGAACTTGTTACCCAGCAGGGACCACCAGCTGTTCTAGGCTTTAGCTTCAGCACCCTACGGCCGTTGTTACAGGCTGCCTCCTCCCCCCAACCTCATCTCAATTGATTTGATTCATCAACAACCAACAACGTCCGTTATCGCTCCACTCTCATCCATTATCATCATCCTTTCAAAACTCCAACTTTCTTTGATCACGATACATACACATCAACGACTGAGCTACAGTATTGCTGGCAAATATCCCCCAGGCTGTCAATACCACCTTCTCCATACACTATCGGCCCAAGCGAGATGCCCTCTGTGGTGACCCCCGTCGTCTGACGCCCGGCCCCTCCCCCATTCTATCGTGTCCCCATTTCCATCAGCTCCAATCCCCATCCCAACCCATCGCGGGACATTCGGTAACCCTTCCTATCGAGACAAGCTCCTTGCTCTTGTCTCACTCGATATCGCTCAACACAACACAATTCAAACCTCAAACTTCTTCTCCTCATCCACTAAGGTACTCTCTCTTTTTCCTCACGATTATCGTTGACGACAACACCCCTGCCCTGGTCCACGCCAGATAAGGCCAGCCCAAGTGCGCGATCGCGCCACATAACCCAGCCGCTGTCGTCTTCTCTTTCACATCTTCACCATGGGTAATTCCAACACAAAAGAGTCTCGCCCCGAGGGCGATCCTCGTCAATATGCAGGTCCCGGCGATCCTTCAGTACGCGAGCATTTACAAAACACCAGCTCGAGGTCGAACCGACGAATGAGCAGAGCCGAGATAAACATCTTTGGTATCGGTCCCAGTTCCTCCCGCAATCGTGAACAACCAGATGCTCCCTTTGAGCGTCGCGAAACAAAGCAGGAGCGTGAGGCGAGGAGGTTAGAAAGGGAGCGCGTGGCTCGAGCAAAGGAACGGGAGAGGAGTATGCGCGAAGAGCACGTTGATGGAGGTTATCTGGTAACATTGGGCACCTACACCGGTACTGAGGACTTTAGCAAGCCTGTCGTGAGGCAGCTACAGGTGCGTTCTTTGTTTCGTTTGATCTTATCGGTAAGCTGACATCACCCAGATAGAGAGAAAGCTTGCGCCATTCTGGCGAGGCCTTAATGATTGGTCTTCGAGCTGGGCCGAGCATCAACTCGTCGCTGCAGCCCGTGGCCTTCCTATCCCCCCCGCCGATGCGCCTCCCGACCCAGAACTCATCCCGCAACCTCCTCCCGCAGAGAACCCATCGTCTTCGAGCCAGAACCTCCAGAATTTGACGGTGCCTATGGGACCTAGGACACTTTCTGCCGCATCGGATCGCAGCGGATCGAACACAGGTTCCGCTCTCCCTTCGCCGTCGACACCTGGAGCAAGCAAGTCGCCTTTCAAGCCACGAGCCAAAGCTCTTGCCGCTGCCCTCAGCGGTGGTTCTCGAAATGCCTCGTCAACCGATTTGTCGCCAAAGGAGATCGCTCTTCCTCATGATCCCTTTGTGAACGGCCAACCCATGGAGGTTTTCCTTTACAAAGATGCTGAGGAGTGCCCTATCTGCTTCCTGACATATCCGCCTTACTTGAACCGCACCAGATGCTGTGACCAAAATATCTGCAGCGAATGTTTCGTTCAGATCAAGCGCGCTGATCCTCACCTTCCTGAGCATCATCCCAACGGTGAAGCTCGGGATCCTAATGAAGGTCTCAACCCGGACGACCCGCCCGAGATGCTTATCTCGGAGCCCTCGGCATGCCCCTACTGCCAACAGCCTGAATTTGGCGTCACATACGACCCTCCCCCCTTCCGCCGGGGTCTTGCGTACTCGAGCGGCCCATCACACGGCACAGCCATGTCTTCGCAGACTTCACTAAACAGCACACTGCAGACCCCACCCACACCCGGCCGTCGACGCGCACATAGTTTGTCTGCGAACGCGCCGAATGTCATCACCACCGATCGCGTGCGTCCCGATTGGGCGGCGAAACTTGCATCAGCGAGGAACCACCAAGCACGAAGAGCTGCAGCGGCCACTGCCCTTCACACAGCTGCATTTCTCATGGGCGGAAACGAACAGAGATCGATTCTTCGCCCGGGTCGATTTGGCCGAAGGAACACTGGAAACAACGATTCAAATGCTAGTCCCAGCCCCAGCGGACAGGGCCAAGCAGACGGTGCACAGGACGACGCGAGCGAGGGGCCGGAACCTGGAGCTAGAGGATCTTCACGGAACGGTACAGGACGAAGGAGTCGCATGGACGAACTTGAGGAGATGATGTTTATGGAGGCAGTTCGTCTTTCTCTAGCTTCTGAAGAAGAGCGCAAACGTAAGGAGGAAAAGGCTATTCGAAAGGAGACTAAGAGACGAGAGAAGGAGGAACGTAAAGCCGCCAAGAAGGGTGGACATCCATACAGCGGAAGTGCAAGTGGTGCGAGTGCTAGTAGCTTGTCACTCGGAGGATTGGGTCGACGACGAGGCAACAGCACTGCCAGCAATCTCCGTGTAGAAGCTACCATGTCTAGGGCATCACAAGCTTCGAGCGCACCGGATTCGCCAGCAGAGCCAAAGGCTAAGGACGATGGGCCCGCTGGAAAAGGCAAGGGAGTGGATCGAGGCACGTCTGATAACCAGGCTGGACCAACATCATCATCGAGTTCTCTGCCACTACCGGCTGGGCCTTCGCGTGGAGGATCACATCTTAGGCAGATGAGCAATGCCTCCTCAGTTGGGTCATCAGTCAACGATAGCCCGGTTGGCACATACACGGGACCCGACTACCTGGGCGCCGACTTAGGTCCTCGGTCTAGTGGGCTGAGCCTTGGTGCTTACAGCGACGATGGAGAACGCGACGGCGGAAGCGCCGGATCTGAGCCCATGTTCAACTTTAGCAGTCTCGCTCAGATGGTTGGTGCCGATCTCGAAAACGGACAAATGCACCGCAACGATGAGGGAGAGTCTCACGATACACATGGTCGACCACTCTCACAAGTGAAGGAGGATGAGAAGGAGGACGCAGAGGCAGAGCACGTTGAGGGTGTGACAACTGCTAAGACAGAAGTTGTCCCTAGTTCTCTTGCTGCCCCAGCTGTTATGATCACACCGGAAACTCCCGCGGCTGTGGATGAAGCAGAACATGAAGCTAAGCAACTCGGACATTCTGAAATTACAACGGTGACGGGTCGACCTGCTACAGAACAGAGACACATTTAAATGGGCTTTTTGTCAGGGAAGAGGGGGATTTTGGGATGCATAGGCTTTTAAAGATACGAGAAGCGTTGTCGAGGAATGTACTTTGTATGAGGGAGCATCATGTGTAGTAGCGTATACAAATAGTGGGCATGTAATATCTATGCCACGAGGATCATCACAATGCTCAATCGCTCGACTGGTATCAAATGTTTATTCTTTAGTTCGTGGTCTGTCTATGTCTTCTTGACTTCAACCTTGAACTTCTCCATCCACTCACTAAACTCATCACTCTCGCCCTCCCACCCAAGCTTCAAAACCTCGCTAACACCAACCGCACTCTCAAAACACTCCTCCATGAGTCTATCGATCTCTTCCGCATCAAGCTCGTAAAACGCACCAGCCAAATCCCCAAAATTATCCGGCAACGTCTCGAGAACACTCGCTGCTTTGTCCAGCTTGGAGGGAATGTCGCCCGTGGTGGTGTCCTTGGGAAGTTTCTTGAAGCGCCTCTTGGAAATGGCTTGGTATAGAAGAACGATCATTCGTAAACGCTTGAGAGTTGAGTCAAGACGGGGTCGGATCTTATCGGGGTCGGATTTTGGGATGGCGGAGGAGGAGTTCATCAAGTCGTCGACCATTTCTTGCTCCGTGAGCGACGCATTGTTCATATCATCGGCCAGACCATCAACATCATCTTCATCATCCTCCTCCTCTCCCCACTCCTTCAACTCCTCCATAACATCCTTCAGCGTATCCCTCCACTCCTCCGCCTTTCTGACATAAAAGCCCCCAACCCCCAGATCCGCGAGCTTAACAACCTCATCACACGCACTCCAAAGCTTGCCCGTCAAAACAAGACTTCCCTTGCTCCCATCCCTCCCCAGAGCAGGTATAACCTTCCCATCATCAGGAACACGCTTCAACAAACCCCACAGCTCAACGAGGACCTTTTGGCAGCGGTATGCTAGTTCTTTCCGCACGACGCTCGTGTAGAGATCGGGGGTGCAGGCCTGCGCGGCGGTGGCGAGGCCAGGGATGGGGCCCTTTATGAGCTCGCGGATCACGGTGCTGATGGCGCTTGGGGTGAAGGGGTCGTTTATTATGAGAAGGGAGATCTTGGTTGAGTGGGCGCGGATGAGGAGGGATGTGTCGCGAGCGAGGGATAGGGCGTTTATGGAGGTTGTTTCGGGGGAGGAGGAGGAGGGTGTTGCTGGGGTTAGTGGGTTTCGTTGGATGGTGGTGAGTGTTGATTGGAGCTGTTCGAGGAGGGTTGTAGCTGTCGCTATGAGTGTAGCAAGAGCCTTGCGAGACTCTTCATCGTTCGGCGCCATATTGATTGACCAGAGTATGAGATAGTGTATGTGTAGATGGTGATGATGCGTCACAGTTTTGCTGGTGTTGGAGGGGTTGACTTCTTCTTTTTTCTCGTCCCCCACCTTTAGTGCCCTTCCTCCCCAGGAACGGATTTACTTCCGCGTCTCAGATCCTCCCGAACATTTACCGCCCAGGGGAGCTTTTACAGTGGAGACCTCCCTCTGGAATGCTCCCCTGTCCCCTAAAGTAGTTATAGCTGACCTGGCCAACTCCAACCTCCGATTCCCTTGTTGGAGCCATTACACAAAAACACCAGAAACAATGCAACACCCGAATTCTCTGGCGCTTCTGGGCGCTATTTACGCTTTTACTCTGGCTGCTGCTGGCAGCGTGCCTAGAGGTGTTGGCCCAGAATGTAAGAGTACTTCGTGATCATGAAGTGAAGCTATGGGGAGCTAACAGGTGTTGTAGTTGCTTCTCACTATCAGGGCGATGAATTCTCTTGCATCACCAACGCAGCGATCAAACTGAGCCTTGACCGGGTCAACGATAACACGTGCGATTGCCCCGATGGCTCAGACGAACCAGGCACCGCTGCCTGCGCCAACCTCGATCCTCTCTCCCCCGAACAACCTCTCGTCGGCTCCATCTCCGGCACGACAAACACCACCAATGCACTGCCCGGCTTCTGGTGCGAGAACAAGGGACACATTGGAATGTATGTTCCGTTCCTCTACGTCAACGACGGTGTGTGCGATTACGAGCTCTGCTGCGATGGGTCAGAGGAGTACGGTGGTGTAGGCGGTGTCAAGTGCGAGAACAAATGTGCCGAGATCGGAAAGGAGTATAGACGATTGGAGGATGAGAAGAAGAAGGCTTTGCAAAAGGCTGCGATGAAGAGGGGCGCTATGGTTAGCGAGGCTAAGGATCTGAGACAAAAGGTTGAGAAGAAGGTGGAGGACTTGAAAAAGGAGATTGCGGCGCTGGAAGTCAAGAAAGAAGAACTCGCCCAGAAGCACCGCGATGCTGAACAGCAAGATAAGGGAAAAGTTGTCCGCGAGGGGCCCGGCGGTGGTAAGCTCGGTGTTCTTGTTGGTCTTGCCAAGACACGCGTCAACGAGCTCAGGGATACATTGGACAAGGTCGTTACCCAGCGTGACGCTCTGAAGGAGCGAGTCGGGGAGCTTGAGGAGCTTTTGACAAAGTTCAAGACTGACTATAACCCCAACTTCAATGACGAGGGTGTCAAGGCGGCGATTCGGTCTTTTGAGGATTATTCGGCTCGTCGGGCGGAGAGCAAGGAGGAGGTTGTGAATGATGAGGATATCTTGAGTGTTCTGAAGGAGGATGGGGAGAATGGCGGTGTTAACTGGAGTGAGTTTGAGGAGGGTGAGGGAAGCGATACTGATATTCGTAAGTCAACTCTCCCACAAGATGGTGCGTTATTTGCTAACATATTAGTCTACAACTTTGAGGCCTACCTCCCTCCTCCCGTTCGAGCTTTCATCCACAACTCTCTCGACAACCTCCGTGTCTGGGCCATCACCAACGGCATCCTCGCCGACAACTCATCCCCCGGCAAAGAATCCACCCTCGTCCGCGCAGCCCGCGAAGCCGTTGACGCTGCCAAACGTGATCTCTCCGACAAAAAGTCCACTCTCGACGTCGAACAAGCCGATCTCGATTTCGACTACGGTCCAGACGATATCTTCCGCGCCCTCAAAGACAAATGTGTAACCCTCGAAGCCGGCGAGTACACCTACGAACAATGCTGGCTCGGCAGCACCAAGCAGAAATCCAAGAAGGGCCACGGCCAAAGTAACATGGGAAATTTCAAGCGCATCGACCGCGAAATGGCAGATGAAGAGGACAGAATCGACGGAAAGAGTCTTGGACGCGGAGAGAGGATGGTGTTGAGGTATGAAGATGGTCAGCAGTGCTGGAATGGCCCGCAGAGGAGAACGGATGTTTGGCTGGGATGTGCGGAGACGGAGGAGTTGTGGAGGGTTAGCGAGAGCGAGAAGTGCGTTTACAGGATGGAGATCGGTACGCCTGCTGCTTGTGACTTTTCGAGATGGGATGTTGGAAGCCAGCCCAAGAAGCCCAGATCTCGAGATGAGCTATAGATAGGAGCAGAGATGGGAGAGGGTTAGAATGTTGGGAACATACAATGCTGATTAAGATAGAATACAACACGACTCGGTTCAATACTCGTATTATACATGCATGACATATTTGTAACGTCCAAGAAACGTTCCTGATATCAACAACCCCCCAACTCCCGCACCTTGAAGCAAATACCGACCCCTCAGCAACTCTCTTCTCTGCAGAATCTACCAGAAGCTGCACCATCCTATGTAGTGCTGGCACAGATTCTCCAGCTTCGTAGCCTCCATGATCAACTTGTTGACCTGCGCAATGACATCTAGCTCCTCGTTGTTCTTAAAGTCACGGCCCGTAAGCTTCTGCTGCACACGGTCCAGCACCTCCACCGCCCTCGCGTTCTGGCTCTCTACCTCTGGTGCGCCGCCATTTGTCATGGCCTCGCCCGCTGAACTGTTTGTTCGGGCGCGTGCGCGGGTCTGAATTGATGGTTCAGGGGCGTTGAGGAGTTCACTTGGCGCGACGTCGCTGTCGAGGATGGATTGGCGACGCGCGCGGACTCCGCCTGGGACGGGCATGGCTGTGTCGCGATCAGAGTTGAAGTTGGGGCCTGTTGGGGATGCGGCGTTTGTGAGACGCCATGTAAGGAGAGGATCATGGATGAACTGTGAATGTCAGTATGAGATGTATCAATCTGGAGAGGGGGGTGACTTACCGCTTCGAGAACAGCCATGACGCTCTCTTTGTTATCTCGTAGAACCCTCATCACGTTCTCGCATGTGATTCTAAAGCTACCCTCGATGTTGCTAACCTCCATAGCATAGGTCAGCATGCGAGTGAGTCGGAAAGGAACCCTCTCCGGGTATTTCTCTCTCTTCATCGCCACCTCGAAACAATCGCCGAAATCGATGTGGATGATCTTTCCAGTGATGCGGTCAAGCATCAAGTTGGAAGGATGACGATCACCCAGTCCCAGAATATATCCCACCATGGACATGACACCGAGAGAACGAGTGTAGTTGGTTCGTCTCTCAAGCCAAGCCTCAGAAGACTTTGACTTGAGCCAGAGAACACGGTACAGGTCCTGTCCGGTGGTGTTGTCGAGTGCATAACCGAACACCTCGACTTTCTGCATCAAGGTGAGGTTATCGTAGTCAGGCGCCATCTGGAGCATGATGCGGTGTTCAATGTTGAGCAGGATCTTGCGACTCTCACGATACTCCCTAATAAGAACGTGGAGGGTGTCGCTGTTGGGAACCCACCCGAGCAGACCGCTATTCTGCGAGAGCGGGATGGCAGGGTAGCGCTGGATGTTGAGGTGGCGCTTGAAGCACTCCGAGTCGTGGGCGAGGAGGGTGTTACACAGGCCGAACAGCTGCATAACTCGTTCGTCCTGACGGATATCCTCGTGGCCCTTTAGCAGGAACGCGTACGACTTTCCGTCACTGCCGTTGACGTTGAGCTTTCGTGGACGTTGCTTAGAGTTGATAACACTAAAAGTTGTGTCAAAGGACATTATCCTTACGATGGGCTGTCCGCTCTTGTATGTTCCTGGAACTGCCAGGTCCAGGTTCTTGGCGTTGAGGAGCTTGGGCGAGCAGTACGTCAACTCCAGGGTGGTGACCTGAGGTAGCTGCCTACTTATTCTGCGGAATACCTGATAATACAGATCCCACGCCTGGTTCAGGTCGTTGACGTCTTGACTTGTCTCGTACTGTCGGCACCAATCTTGTGCCTCCTTAAGATCTCGTCCGAAAGCCTGTGCGAAAGAGATCTCGCGCAGAGTTTCGGGTCCACGCTCCAGAAGTTCGTGTAGAGGCGCAAGTGTTGCAAACATCCCTTCAATGTTGCTATCACCAAAGTACAACCGCGAAGCTTCCTCCAATCCCTCGTGCCAGAGCTCATGCCACAAGACAGCGACGCGAATCAGTTCATGACTGACTATGTCGGCTTGAGCGACCAGGTTTGCGCTGTGCTGTCTCATGCTATCCATAATTTGAGCTGCAGAACGAGATCTACGCGTGTTCTGCCAAGATTTCATGGCGACAGTGAGAGGGTAGACCAGAGCCTGAGGATGAGCTCGTCCGACATCTGCAAGAAGGTTGTGCACCGATTGCTGAACTCGCTTGTTAGGCTGGTTGATGCGGGCGATCAGTTGAGGAATGACTTCGAGCCATGTGTCGACGCTGACATTGGCAAAGCCTTCGGTAACGGCTACGTTGACATCTGAGCTTCCGCCATGGGTGAACCAGAGTGTCAATAGTCGAAGAGTATCCTGAAGCGAGCTTCCTTGTGAAAGTGCGATGGATTTGAAGAAGCCCTTGACAGCGGGAACGACGTGATCAATCACCATATTGTGGTCTGTCCTCGACAAATGTCCCTCATTTCCGGCTGTGAGTGTCTGCACAATCTCGAAATTGGCCAATGCCCAGGCATGCCAGGCCTTGTACCATCGAGGATTGTACTTGGTCGCCTGAGAGTAAGACAGAAGAATATCTTGAACCTGGGTGTACTGCCAATCATCCTTGTTCAGCGCAATCAGCCACTCTCCCTGGCGCAGATAGCACTTGGCCAAGAGGACTGTTTGGTCATACAGCGCTCGCGAGGTATGTGGGCTTATGAGAGAAGGATCCATCGGGTTCTGGAATCCATAGTCGCCAGTGATGTTGACATCGTTACCAGCTTGGGCAGCGAGGTGGGCCCTAGCAACTTCGAGACGATGCGCAGCATCGTTGGTGAACTTGCGCAGGCAATACAGCGTCTTCTCCGGAATGTTACCCTTCTTATTGACGGGCAGCTGCTGTCCAAGCTCCCACTGGTACTTGAGCACGGCATAGATGACCTGTGCGGCCGGTGCAGCTCTGGAGTTGGGTGCTGGCTGTCGCTGCTCATTCCAATAAGGAATTGCTGATATCAGAGGAGCGTCAGTTCCGATGAGCTGCTTGAGCGACTTCTCAGCCAGTCCCATTCGTCCAGACTTGCGGCAAAG